CATATTTTGGCTGAACCCAGACCCTTTTTAAAAGTGGAGGGTCCAAGGGTTATAGGTGTCATAAAAATTTTTAATATAAAAATATTTTTTTAAAAAATAATATAAATTTTTAACTTTTTTTTATGGAATCATTGATTCTTCGCGTTTTTCTTTCAATTTTCTTCCTGGACTTCCATTTTATTTAGAGATTGATATCATTAGTGTAGGTAATAATATTTTATTATGTAAATTTTTTAATAGGCTACGTTAAAGAAATACTTTGATTATTTTTAAAGTGAATTGTATAATAATATTTTTGCACAACACTTTGGTCCTCAATTTGTATGATGCTGAAGCGATTATTAAGTTTGAAAGATTGGTAATGATTTTATTATAGGAGCATGTGAAGTCATTTTGTCGGAAGATGATTGGTGCCAAATAAAGGATCTTACTAGTATATTAGTTCCTTTAAATATTAAGATTACAATCGAACAATTATATTTATTTGATTTTTATGGCATATATGGATTAGATTTAGAAAAATTTACATTCCTTTTTATACGAAATATTAGAAAACATGAAAATTTCAGGCAACAAAATAAATAGTGTTGTTATACCCTTCTATATATTTAGACCCTTGATAGTTTTATTGAGTATTGAGCAAAAACAAATGGCTAAAGACCATCTTAAGGATTTATGGCATACGCAACTCTATTATTTACAATATATTGGAGGCTACGACAATACTTACTGGTTGTAGTGATAATAATAATAATGATAGCAACATTGATGATCTTGTTGAAAAAAATATCAAATTATCATCAGATCAAAAAATGCCTTTTGCATCTTTAATAGTAAAGTTCTCAGAAGTTAAGAGAATAAATTAGGATATAAATATTTTAAAATTCTGGAAAGAAAATTCTTCAATATATCCAAAATTATATATCTTATCTAGAATTTTCATGACTGTACCGGCGACATAATTACAATAATTTTGTAAAGATAACTATCTATTTTAAGTAAGGGTAGAACGTAAATTTTTATCTTTGAAATATATATTGTCTACTTTACGTGGAAATATCAAGGATGATATTTGAAAAGATATTATGATTGTGCGATTAAAAATATAAATTATTTCATTTTTAAATTTTTCATTTGTAAATCAGAGTTGTTAATCGCTACTTTTATAAGTAACGCGCTATCGCTATTTGTCAAAAAAATTAGCGCGCTACCGATATTGCAATTTGTCAAAAAAGTAGCTCGCTATTAGCTATTATTTTTCAAAAGTAGCTTTAGCTACTTTTTATAAAAAAAAATTTAGAAACAAATTATTTTGCTTATAATGTTATTATATAGTAAATATATAAAAATCAACATTTATAAATATTAAAATATAGTTAGTTTTGATTATAAAAAAATTTATGTAATAAAAATAAATATTTATGGTAATTTGTTGCATTTTATAAGTTTTTACCTAGTGTTATGTGTCCAACGATCTGTCGTGGTGCATATATATGTCTTTGATAACTCTACTATTAGAGCGTCTTACTTTGAAGTTATCGGCCATTTTATTCATTAGTGTCTGTCGACATAAAATTGTTATACCAGAGGATAGAGTTTTAATCATCATGGTAAATGATGGATTATTAACCAAGGACATTGGCTGAGCTGTATCAATTATAAAATCAACAATAACTTTATCAGCCAATTTCTGAGAAATATTGGCATTCGGATTATTAATTTATTTGGTTTGATTTGAATTAGTCTTTTTGGATGTAGAATCGCCTATACCAAAATTATTTTAATGTTTCCCCATTTCCTTAAAGCTATTGGTATTAGTGTTGTTAAACGGCTCGTTTTGAGCCGATTTTTTAAAACGGCTAACTCAATATTTTAGCCAGAAAAATATTGCCTAAGCCTCAAGATTTCGATTATATATGTAAAGACCTTTGTTCCTTCTTTAAGCAAAATATTCAGGCTTACGTAATATTTTTCTGGATAAAATATTGAGTTAGCCGTTTTTAAAAATCGGCTCAAAACGAGCCGTTTAACAACACTAATTGGTATGATCAGTCTTATAAAATAAACACGTAATAATGAAAATTTACCTTTTGGTGTTTCTTGAGGTTATAACTGGATTGATTTGAGGAAATATTTTTTTTTACATTTTAAACAAATAAATTTGAAACCAGTTTTGGTTTTATATTTATTTAGAATCAAATCTAGGGAATGGGAAATTTGTATTATAGCTATTAAGAACATTTATTTCCCTGGTATTTTCCATTTTATTAATATCATTGTCTGAATCACTTTCAACGATTTGGATATCCATAGGCGATGACATTTTAAATTATTAACCCGTGATTTAGGTTTATAATACAAATGAAAATACAAATTACAAATTGAAAATATATTTCCATTTCAAAATTAAATAATAAATCCTAAAAATTATAATTAATTATGATATATTTAAATTTTCATGTTTATACTTACCTTCATTATATTTTTTAAAAGTAGCTAGCGGGCTACTTAGCTACTTTCAAAAACAAAAAATGTAGCGCGCTAAAAAATTAAATAATTACAAAAAAAGTAGCCGCTATTAGCTATAGCTACCAAAAAAGTTAGCGCGTTCAGTAGCTCGCTACTTTAACAACTCTGTTGTAAATTATGAATATGTATATATTGAAGTATAATAATAAATTAATGAAAAAAAAATCTTATTTATGTTCCCTGAACCCAAACCCCAAACACAGGTCATTTTCAAATTTATTCCTATACCCGGACTTGGACCCTTTTTTTTGTCTAAGGGTTCACATCCCTGGTATAAATATTAATTATGCTATGTATATGCATTATTATTAAAAAAGTAAATTCAACATTTACAAGAAAGTAATTTTTAAGAAAAAAGTTTTATAAAACTAATCTTTAAATCCAAAAGTTTATTTAAAATTTGTTTATAAAAAGTACTCAAAATTTTTAAATAACAAATAAAAGTTGAATATTTTTTAACCCGTCCGCTTATTATTTAAATTTTTTTAACCCTCCCGCTCGTTCTTTAATTTTTTTAGCCTGCTCGCCCATCAAAAACCCTCCCATCGCAGACCTCTAGTTTGTTTATTTTTTTCTCGTTTTTAAAAAATTTTTTTTTACCAAATTTTATGTTTTTTGTAATATTTGTTCTGTTTTTTTATTTTCAACCTTAGTTAAAACTACTTCAAATTTGAGTTGTTAAAATATCTAAATACACTTTTATAAATATATGTATCTTCCTATCTTAGAAATATGTGTATCTATTTTAAGAAACATTTTGATATAGTATAATTTAATGCTTTTTATCTTAAAATAAAAATATTTGAATGAAAAATTCATTTTATTTTGTATGACCATATAATTTAAATAAATATATAATAAAAAAATATATATATATTCATTAAAATATTATTTTTTCCCATTTAAATCTATAGACAAGATTATGAAGGATATTTTTTATCATGTAAAAGAATATATAAATCCTTGCTTAACCATGACGCCCATTAATTATTATAAACAATAGCATTGATGCACACAATTATTTCAAGCAACTTTTAAAAAATAAATTATAAGCTTAATGTAAATTTTTTAAAATAAATCCTCATTTTTTTTTAATAACTTTATTATAAGAATTTGTCCGAAAGAACGATAAAAATTGGGGTATATTGACATTTTTTTATATGGAGTTTGAATTAAATGAGAACAAAATATAAAAATGTTGTTTACATATTTTATGCTCTCATAATAAACATTAACACTGTATATAAGTATGTTAAAAATTATATATGTATCTAGATACGTTTTCAGACCATGTATCTATCTAGATCCATTTTTAGGCGATCTATCTCTACCTAGTTCATTTACAAAGTATCTTTTAACAACTCTAAAATTTTTTAATAAATCACAAGGTTTTTTTTATAAAAAAATTATAATTCGAAAATAAACCTTCAAATTGAACAATGATATCTATTATTTGAATTGGGTAATTAATTATTTATTAAGGGAATATTTTAATACTAAGATTAAGTTATTTTAGGTTTATATAAAATATATACGATCTATCCTTTTCATAATTTTGAGAATAAATAAGTTAGAGAATTCAATATTCATGACATAAAATACAATTATTAGAGCATGGATTTTATTTTGTCCGATCTGACCAGTAAAATAACATTGTACAAGTTGTCCGGCCTTTTTCATCTAGGAAATTGACATATCCTAATTGTAAGCTTTAAAATAATTTGCACACTATAAATTATATTGTATATAATTATACGTTCTATCTGCACAATAGGATATAAAGTAGACGAGTAAGCCAAAGTAAGGTCTTGAAACCATGGTTGACAAAATTTTGATATCACAACCCTTATTTTTTGAATCGTATATTTATATATTTTTTACTTAAGAGTTAAGACACTAACATCATCACTATAATAATCAATCTTTTTTTGCAAAATTTTGGATAAAAAATTAAGTTTTGAGAGTTAGTTATATATATTTTTATTTAGCTTATTTTACATAATTTATTTTATATTAGCATATTTTATTTAATTATACAATACAATCATTAAATGATGAATAAAATATACTAAAAAAATAGGAATAATAAAAATAATCTCTGCAACCTAAACTTAATATTATTTCTAAATTTTTTAATTAAATTACTAATAAAGTTATATTAATATACATTATATAATTTTAAAAATATATTATAAATAGAAATACTATTCATCAATTTAAGATTTAAAAAAAAATATGTCATCTGGAGAAATTTTGCCAATTATTTGATTATTTGCTTAACTAAATATTAACCAAAATAGACATCATTATAATAAATTATTTTTTGAAACAAAAACTACAATTAAATCTAAATCACCCCAAAATCTCTTATTGAATTCAGTATACTGAAATGGCAATGTATTATAAATATATTTATTTTACTCAAAAAACTATCTTATAATTATATAAAATTAAAATATTTTTTACAAAAGCCACTTGCATAATTAGGTTCTTGTTGTTCCCCATCGTTATCAAATCTCAGAGATACACCACTAGAATGAGCAATGCCATGCCTTCCATACAAAAGTATCAGACTCAGATTTTCGAAGCCAGAAGGAACGGGGATCAAGGCGAAGGTCAGAAAGTTTTTTATATCTCGCTTGCTTATCTGGGTCAATTTGATCCGAGACTTTCATCACGGATGAACAAAAACATATGCTATTTTGTTTCGACTAATATGAAAGCTTAAATGTCCCTAATATGATATCGGGCTAAATCACAAGGTTTTATTATTTAAAAAATATAATAGTTGATCTTTTTCTACCTGTGTAACTTGATAAAAAAAACTTTATATGCTAAATATTAAATTCAATTGCAATAGAAAAGCCATAAGGATTAGTGCTGTATCGATTCATAATTTTTCACCAATACGATAACCGATTGTTATATTGTTTTTATTTACCATCTCTCTTTGAATCAATATCTTAAAAAAATTAATATTCTCAATTGAAATTCACGAATGATTAAGCTTATTTTGTTTTTTATTCACCAAATGTATTTAAAATATGGGTGATATTAACGGCTCAAGATTTTCGCAAAAAAGTATTATTTCTTAATCATAGAAATTTTGCCAATAGAACTTCAAATTTTTTTGTCAAGGGAAAGTTTCTAAGATTTATTTTTGGCTAAAATCTTGAATTAGCCATTCAACAAAATTAGCTTAATGTGGCTCGTTAGATATATAAAAACTTTCTTGTTGCAGATAATATTTTTTAAAAAAATATCCAATTTTTAGCTACTCTATCTTTAAAAATAATTAATGTTTTAAACATGACAAATAAATTGATTTTTGGTTCCTTAATTTATTGTTATGAAATTAAAAATATAAAATAAAAATTTTAATCATAAAAACCAAATAGAATTTCTGCTTTTTTAAAATTAAATATCGGACCCGATTCGATATTTATTATCGGCGGAGCCTTACTAAGCAGGGTATCGAACCTAACCACGATTAACCTTTTTTAAAAAGAATGACAACCTAACAATTATAGTACCGATTCTAGCGGTTTTTGAAATTATATATAATATCATTAATATATATGTGATTAATGATGTTGTTGCTTAATTTTATTGCATGTATATGAACCATTATACCTATTGATTAGACACCCTGGCAGAGCATTCAAGTCGGCGCTCAAAATCAGGCCGGTTGATTTTTTAAATAAATCATCTGAAACAAAATTTTAGCTTATTAGCAATTACATTACCTGAGATAATGGGAATTAGAGGTACAAAAATCGGATTTTAAACCTTTTACTGATGATAAATAATTAGTTTTTAATTAAATACTAAATTAGTTCTAATGTTAATAAATAAATAATTAAGAGTGAAACCTCAGAATTAAATTTTTTTAAATATTGGTCACCTTATGTCCAGTTGAAAATTTAAAATTAGTATTTAGAAATAATTGAGCTTTATTTTTTTAATTATTAAATTACTATTTTTCTAATTTCAATAATTAGCGCGGCTAGGTAATTATTTTAAAAAATATCGGCAATGATGTATTAAAAATGTATAGATGGCGTTAGGCTTTTTTTATCGTTTAAAATAATTTCAGGAATTAAAATTTACGAGTAATATCATGAATATTTAAAAAATAATTATAAAATTTTTATATGGTTTTTTTGCCATATTGTAAGCACAAATGATTTTTTTTAAAAAAAAATATTTCAATACCCATAATATTACAATCAATTATGCCTTAAAATGATGATTTTTGGCGATAGAAAAAGCCTTTATTGCATTAAACTGTTCATATATAGCATAATCTATATGTTTTTTATATATTATTCGAGATATTTCATTTTAAAAATAATTATAGAGCTGTGCTAACTATTGAAGAAATTATTAGAAGATAGTGAAAGAATAAAAAAAATTTAAGCTCATCATGATATACGAAATTTTAATTTTCAAATGGACATAAGATTATCAATATTATAAAAAAAATATTTTGATTATTTCCCCATAATTTTCAATTATTCCTTCAGTTATTAATATTTGAACTAATTTAGCTATTAATTTAAAACTAATTATTTAATCAGTAAAGGTCTAAAAAGCCGATTTTTGTACCTTTAATCTTCATTATCACAGGTAATATAATTGCTAATGAGCTAAAATCTTGTTTGATATTACTAGGATATATATAACGTGCCTACAAATTTTTATCGAAGGGGTCGGCAGAAAATATGGATTTTCTTGATCATGAGTGGCAATCACAGATTTTAGAACCAGGACTAGAGCCATGCAAATTATTTTTTCGGTCCAAGTGGGGTCCGAAAATTTTATTTATTTTAAAATCTTGTGGTGTTTATTTGTATTTAGGCCCAAGCCCGTCCCGAAATTATAAAAATATGAATTAGACGCATTTTTATAAAGTTAAATAAAGAAAATCATGATTGAAAGAGGTCGGTCGAATGGTGTTTAATTTGACATGAAATGAACAAATTTCGCCATTTTAATTTATTGAAATCGTAAGGTTGCTTATACATAAATTCATGAAACTGTTCAATGCTATACCCGACTTTCACACTAAGTATGTATTATATCAATGAATTTTGAATGTTTTGTTTAATTGTATACCCTTTTCATTTACAAAAGGATTATTGGAATGCTGCTCTCATGTCATGCTTCATCGATTATCTACTTTCGAGCAATGACACACAGCAGTATACTAACCTTCGTTCATAGGTAATGGATAAATCAGGCCACGAATAATTAGAAGATTATCTAAGCATGTTGAATAAATATCTTTTGTTAAATAAGAAATGCTTTTCTACCTTGCAACTGTAAAAGATGCAGATTAATGGTTGATTTCTAACCTAGACACCCACTCCATTGTCTCGTTGAACAGATACATATATGTAAGGCACGAAAGAATTAATAAAAGAATCAAAAATTCATTATTCAAATCCGATGTTCCTTCACATCGTAATTCGCTGCCTGATGGGCACACGTTAGCCCCCCCCCCCATGGAATATGGGGAAAACATGTATGGGGGCTTTACATATATAGACATTTTCGCCTCATCTAATAATTCATCAATTATGCATAACGGAACCCAAAAATATTCACATCTAGCCGACAACAATATATTTATATCCATCGTGGTACAAACTTATCAGTTGGGAAAGAGGCAAAATCCCTAATCAAACTAATCAGCCCATAAGAGCCCTAAAGCAACAATCTCGAGAGCCCTTTTGATCAAACAAAAAATTAGTTTTGAAATTTTATATTATTTAAAGATTCATGGCCGTCACCAGAGGAGAATGGCTATTTTTATCTTGTTTTTTTTATATTTGTGTATCATTTTTTTGAAATAGTTTAAATATAGTTTTTAATTTTTACATAGTTTACATGTTATTTTTAATTACTTTATATAATATCAAATTAATATAACATCAGAATAATAAATAGTAATAATGAATTTACAAGGTTTGGTTCATAATTGACACTATATTGAATCAAAACCTCATTTATCATATATCAATAGGGCCAATAAGCTTGAATAATTTACTTTAGGACAAAATCTTGAGTTAACCGTTTTTAAAAATTGGCTAAATCGAGCCTTTCAACAAAACTAGCCGAAAGTGACTCGTTAGTTATTTTAAAAGTATTTTAAACCTTTACAGTAAACATTTAGTTCCTTTTATTAATTTATTATTATGAAATTATTTTAAAAATTATAACAATCATAAAATAACCAAAAAAACAATTAAATTATCGGATCGAATCGAATCGGGTTTTAAATATCGACCGATCCGATATTTATTGAAAACGTTAAATATCGGTGTCGATCCGATATTTAATACCGGCTCCAATAATTTTTTAAATATCCTATCCGATTTTTTTTATTAGACTGTTGAAAAAGTATGATATTTGAAAACTTATGAGCGTTGAAAAAAAATAAATAATTTTGTTTTTTGGGGGGTAATTTATAATTATTATAAACATTAAAAAAGCAAAATATTTTATAATTTTGTCGAGATCTGGCCCTATATTAAGTTTCAATCCAACTGAATTCTAGAGATCACTCCAATAAATCCGTTTATGGCTAGTTAAAACTTTACCTTTTTGAAACGGTGTAAACCCGTTTTTGAAATAAAAACTTGAATTATTTTTGAAAATTGAGACATTCCTTGGAGAGTTATTGAAGGCTATATTATTTAACACTAACTTTTTTTTCAAAACCCAATCAACCTCTAACCCCGTTTATTATTGTCATAATCAATCAACCTCTTTTTGAGAATTAAAACCTTAAGAGGCTCTCATTACGATTCTTAAAATTTTTAAAGAGTACTTTCGGTTCGGTTCTGATTCTTAAGATTTTGAAAATAAGATTGGTCCTAAATTTGATGCTGTTTAGAAGGTTTCAGTTTCAAACTATGATTGCAACCTAAATCACATTTATTTTATCTTCCCTTTTTTCCCGAAGTATTACGGATGAGCCTTTTGCTTAGGAAAACGCTGAAAGATAACGATGTGAAACCGTTGAAAACGTTTATGATGCCTCTGTTCCAAGTAAACACTAGATTTCTTTATTTATCTTGTTAGATTATTTTTATATAATGCACACCTTACGTGATTATAAAAAAATTGTATTTCAAATGTATTCTAAAAAATTAGTATTAATATCTAGATATCTTATTAGGGCATGTATCTGTATGCATTTAAAATTCTGAAGCGAATGAATATGTTTATATTAAATATTAATAATATGTGAATGAATGATAGATGTAAATTTTAAGCCGTGCGACCATTATAAGAAAAATCGATGGCTTTGTAGCTGGTTTCAAATTTATCTGCCGCGGTGAGGTGAGTCGACTATGCTTACATTTAGCTATTTTATAAACATATTTTGAATAATAAGGTGGTATTAGTCTTAAATTTTGAATTAAATATTTGAAAAAAATTCTCAAAAGGCACCCATATTTTTATCTTTCTTTTGGGGTCTAAGAAGTATGGCCAACGCGCCTATTGAAAGTATGCAAACCGGCGGTCTTTTTTGGTTCACTGATTTGACGCTCGCGGATCCTTATTACTTGCTTCCTATCATCACATGTTCCACTTTATTTCTCACCCTCGAGGTTTTATTCAATATTTTTTGTGTTTACCTTATAATTTATTATCCTCTAAGAATACGATTAAAAAAGAATAAAGTTACATCAAAATTTTCATTAAAAAAATTGCAAAATATATTATTAATAATTAGAAATCAAAGTTCGCAAGCAATTAGCTCTTAAATATAAAACCTTTATTATAAACGTCTTAGCTGAATAGATGTACAAGTTGGAACCATGAGCATTTGGAGATTTCTTCCTTCCTTCATCAAAATTTTGGGCAAAGTCTATAATAATTGAAGATTTTTTAAAGAAGATTAAAGAATTTTTTACAAAAATTTATGATTTCATACCGAAAAATTTTTATGATAAAAAGTCAAAAATTTACCTACAAAATTTTTTTACAAAAAAATTAGAGGAGATAAAGTTTATATAATTTTTTTTGAGCTCGATTGATCAACCGACCTATCAAATAATGTCGTTTTCCTGAAATATAACATTCAAATTTTTTGTAAATCTTAAGAAACAAAATTAAACATTAATGAATTTTTACTATTATACAAATAATTAATTAAAATTTTTAGATTATTTAATTTATAATTAGTTAATTTTGGCTTTTCAAAGAAATTTCTAAACATTTAAATAGATAGATAATTCATAATTTTATCGCACAAAAGTATCTACTTCCATTTATTTAATACATTCAGTTCGGAGTTGAAAGTGGAATGAGAGCAAATATGATGCCTGTCATGAAATACGTTATGAGGGGAATGCCTGTTGTGGTTTTTTTCTTCACTCTCAATTTTCCAGCGGTATATTTACTTTATTTTTTATATAATTTCAAAAATATATCATTTTTATAAAATTAATAATGATAGTTTTACAAGTTTTTTAAATATTAATCCGTCACCGGGCCTCCGCTCATATTTTATATATTGACCCGACCCCACTAGCCCACCTAATAAAATGGAAATTTTTCTTATTATATTTAATTTAAGTTAAATTTGGAATTATTTATATATTAATTAGGCTATCCTATGCTATTGGTGTACCAACAATTTTTTGAGTTTGCTCCAGGTGGGCTTCCTCAGATTGCCAGGTGTTAGGCCTTACTTTGGCATAGAAAGGGCTAAGCCTCCTCCAGCTCCTGACAATAAAACGTTGAAAATGAAATTTAAAGACTGTAAGTTTTTTTTAAACTAAAACACGTTTATTTTTTAGGAGTATGGTAGTAAAGAGAAATGAATATTTTATTTTATTATTCAAACCAATTTTATACATTATAATACGAGTTATTTTATTTAAAATAATATTTTCTCAAAAAAATACAAAAAAAGCCATGGAAAACAACAAAATATTGAGCGAAATCGAGGACCGGATAAAAATGGACGCATTCAAGTTTAAACAAGCTGGGTTAGGTCCGGTGCCAAAAACATTCGTAACTGACCCCACCCAAATTCTCCCCTCTTCCAAAATCGATTATGGAGATTTGCATCGCGTCAATCAAGAAAAAGAAACTAATTATCGAACTACAGATATTAGGTCGAATATAGAGAGGGATCATGATAAAGATGCAAAAATGATCGAAGAAATAAAGGAAAGAATCAGGAAAAGAAATTGAGACACTGATTTAAATTCTTTAATGGTTGTATATTTGTATTTTCTGTTTGCATAAAATGATATCATCGTTTATTTGACAACAAAATGTTAAATAAAGTCAAAGTATACTCTTATTCGGTTTAAAATATATTATTTTAAAAAATTTGTTGCCAAAATCTATTTATACATTTTTTGAACATTTGAATCATTCTTCTGGTTAGAAATCCAAGAATGATATCAGGTATTATTAATAAATAAGATTTATTTTAAAAATTTAAGTTTAGCAAAACCATATGAATTAGAAAAACACCCCAAATAGCTTAGCCATATTAACTTTTCAGCGGTATTATGTTGTATTTTGTTTTAATCATTTTGATGCTATTTTTCTATCAAGCTGATATTCCTTATAGTTGTCTCATTTTGGCTAAATTTTAAAAAATAATTTACTACATTCTGAGAAATATATTTTTATGATGCCAAATATGTAATTTTTTGAAAAATATTATTTTTATTTGATAAAATGGGTGGTAAGAAGAAGATTATGCAAATAAAAATTTTAAAATGTATAACTTTAAAAATTTCAGCAGTTTTTGATTTCGCATAGACTGTTTTTGATTTTTCGTTCTGGTGCAATAAATAGTTTTTTATGCCACCAAAAGTGGTGCTATTGATGATCAACTTCAATAAATTTAATTGTAGTATTATTACATAGTACCAATTGTAATTCAACTAGTTTTTTTATAATGCTGCAAACGTTATTTCAAAAAAGAACTGTGTTACTCGTTGCATCAAAAAAAGGAACTCGTTATCTTGTGAAAGAAGGAACGCGCGTTACTGGTTATTCAGAAAGTAACGCATTACTCGTTACTTGAAAAATTAACAATACCATAGATTAAACTATAAGAATACCATATTTTATTGTATATTTTAAAATCACATAAAATAAATTATTCATCGTGTTTTTTTTAAAATATAAATAAAATACTAATTTATTACAAATGAGCCAATATAAGTTTTACCATCATATTGAAAACAATAGAAACTTAATTTTAAAAATTGCACTCCTGTAAAATTGCAAAAAAAGTGGATAGAATAATCTAATTTTCAGTCGACAATTTTTAAAGAACATATAAAAATATCTCAAGAAGTTATAGGGAAATAGAAGGTACTCTGATATCAACGAAAATCAATTCTTTACTGCCCAATATACAAAAATTGGTTAATGGATGCTAATTTTGATAATTTTAGTATTAAGATAGTATATTATATAATACAATTTTAACTATCTTATCTGATGTGGAATATTTAAAAAAGATACCTGGCTAGCAGACCTCACATCCATTAAGGGAGGGGGGGAATTAAACAATTCCGACTTTATCTCGATGTGGATCTCAAAATAAATGAAATGAGGGAATAGATTAATGAAATTTAAATTCCCCAGGATTTCAAAGAGTTTCAAAATTGTATTAACCAGGGTTGTGCATTTGACCGGTCAAATACGTTTCGGTCAATTGACCGATATTTTACCGGTCAAATGTGGTCAAATTCAAATATATCTTTTTTTAAGTTAATATTAACTTTATTTTGAATATAATAGTAAAATGAATCTATATTATTAATTTTTTAAATTCATTGTCATTCAGTAACTAACGTGTAGCTATCTGTAGCAGAGTTTTGTTCTGATTCATATTCAATATTATCATTTTCTTTAATATTTTTTTATCAATTTTCCTGATGTCTTAGATCTTCAATCAATTTCTATTTTATAAGAATATTAACCCAAATCGACCTATTTCTTTCTAAAGAAGTAGAACTAGGAATTGTTAGTCTCTTAATGGGCAGGGTGGACAAAGTTTAATCTATTAACTAGAGGTCGGAATTAATTGTTTCTGGAAATTACTACTTTCCACATAATTTGCTATATTAAACATGCTGTTTTTGCTTCTGAAATTAATTATAACACTTAAAATATTTTGGTCATCACTACCTTGTAAAATAGCTAATTCTTGAATTATATCACATACATTAATTTCACTATTAGTGAGTTCTCCTCTTGATATTGTGGACACAAAAAATAAGCAAACATTGTGATCACATGTATTTACATCGTTTTTCCCTTTTTTAAACTAATTTATTTTTCCTTTAAGTTTTTTAGAGTATTTGACCGTATCAAATACTCACCGGTTAATTGACTGAATTTGAATGGTCAATTGACCCACTTGCCAACCCTGGTATTAACACAATTCCGATTAAAAATTTGTAAGCGATGATTTTTATATTTAAACATAAATTAATTAAAAACTAAATTCTGTAATATTTTTTTTCCCATAACCCATTAATATTAAATTTTGTTTACATCAATCTTTCATCAATTCTCTAGTGATCGATAGAACTCTTTCTAGTATAGAGAATGAGATCTAAAAATAGCCATTGATGCATGATGATGCTGAAATAACATTTATACAATTATTTAAATGAAAGTTGATATTTTTTTTATACATAATATTTACGATGTTTCTATAACTTCTGCAGCTAATAATCCTTATGCTATTTTCATTTCATGATGTAAAGTAACATTTCCATATTTAATGTTAATGATTCTAATGGGCTCATTTTATCTGATAAAAATAATCAGGGCCAAGGGGGGACAAAACATGAAAGAAGATTATAATCATCTTCTGTAAATCTACCTAAAACGATCTACAAAGTAATCCAAAATTTTATAATAATTCTAAAGAACTCCAATTGAAGTCCTTTTCACCTAAATTGCAGTTTGATATCGATTAAAAAATCTTGAAGATTTGTAGAGTTTTTATGTACCCTTGATGATTTTTGAGGGATGAGATTATATTTTATATAAGTTTCTCAGCCTTAATTCTTATCAAATCAGAAGAATTATCATTTATTATATTTTTTAGTACATTAAGTGTTTAATACCATTTTTAGCATCCACCAGGGGCGTCATTAGCCTTTACAATCTCAGAAGGCTTAAAAAAAATTTTAAATTATTTTCAAAATTACCTTATTTTTTAGCTAACATCTAAAATTACAAGTTTTTTCCTGCATTCCTCACCCCACCTAGTGGCTCTACTGGCATTCATAATATTAGTACCAACTGACTATAGATACTTATTTAATGGATCTATATTAATATCTCATAAATTAAAATGGCCAATATAATGTAATTTATATTAATGCATGAGATAAAAGACTAGAGGTTTCGGCTGAATCATGAGTGAAAATCTCTGAGTTTCGAATTCTATTAGAAAAGTATAATAATACTTCACCAATAGCTTCAAAATTCTTATAAATGATACGAGATGTTTCTAAATGGCCAGTCCACTTCTGGTCTAAAGGTTTATTAAGAGTATGCCTGTATATATATAGGATACGTTAAAGCGATTAGATAAATTAAAAAATAAGAAATGATAACAATATTGTTATACCAATTTTGAACCACAAGGTTCAACTTGTGGTTGTAGCAATGTATATAAGGCATTTTTTACTAATTTTTTTTGAAACAGGGTTTGTAATCCTCGGCTAGACACGATGTTTGCATATCATATGCCTATCTTAATATAATCGATAACTATTTAATTCATTAAGTTGCTTACATTATCTAGGAAATATAACGAATAATAATGCTCAGGTTTTCTCAACTTTGTATTAATTGTATAAATTAAAGAAATAATATTTTTCTAAATTTTTTTTTGTATTTTCATTTAGTTATACGTTAATGATGAATTAAAATTTATTAACTAAATAATTTTTTTTAAATTTCGTACCCAAAGATTTTTTAAAGGGCCAGGTTTTGAGGCCTAAAAAAAAAATTTTTTTGAGGTAGGGGGGGTGGGTGCCCTGAACAAGTCACAGAGATAGCTTACGATAACCATTCAGGGTATTCCTATTTATGCATATGATAATAAATTACTTATATATTATTATGAAATTCTAAAAAATTAGGTCATTTTTTATGCAATATATTTTAATTTTTATATAACTTTCTAAATAGCCATTTTATATAATATATATACTGTTTTATATAAAATGCTTTATAAAAAATTTTTGTCTCTAATTCTTGTTAAAAAAAATCGCTCAAATTTTTTGCCAAATTTAGCGTGCCCTAATATTATTTTAGAGTAATAGCACGCCCCGCCGCAAATTTTAGGACTATAGCACTGATTAGATGATAAAGTAACATAATAAATAAATTAAAGCTCAATTATATTTGGTTAAGTTATAACGTTTGAAAATGAGGGGTTTTATGTTCCTGGTTGGTATACCGATTTAAAGAGATTAATTGCAAAATAATCTAATCCTGCTTTCCAAAAGATCGATTTACAACGGCATTTATGACAAATTAACAATTAACATATTTATTTGATTACTTAAATATATATCTTTCGTATAATAATAATATAAAAACAATATGGAATAAAAAAATACAATTAGATTAATTTTCTAAGTTTATATGAAATCATTGTTTCTTAACGCCATTTATAATTTGATAGACAAAAAATATTAGGTGATAATTTATAGTTCAGCTTAATTAGCATGTGTCTTATTAATTATTGCCATTTAAAGTTTATAATAATTAATAAATGAAGGAAGGAAGACACTAACTAACTTTGTAAAAAACATCAAGTTAGAGGTATAAAAATCGCCCACCCGATTTGACTATTTAAATAAAATAAATAGAAAAATACTTGGAGCTAATGCTACCCTTTATCCAAAAAAACAAAATTATTTTTGAAAGAACAAATGTTTATGGCAATTTTTTTAAAAAATATATAAGTTATAAAAATATTTCCTTTTTTATGAAAAAAAAAATCAAGTCGCGCGCGGAGTATTATTTTGAGTATTTATTATTAAAAAAGGGCGTGTGTGCACTTACGCCAAAGCATTTTGCGATTCGATTTGTATTATCATTATATGGTTAAAATTGCTACTAATTGCTATATTTTTTTTATTTTATATGAGAGGGAAGGGTGGGGGGGGGGGGGGTATTTATTGTGTGGATTGAAATGGATTTTTTTAAAGCACCCTGAATAAAATTTTATTATAATATCATCTGTTTTTTCCAAAAATAAAAAAATTTGCGTTTTAAAATTAATATTTTCTTTTCTAATAAAAAAAACAGTATTAATAAAAAATAAAATAAATGTATGAGTTTTATTTGGCACATCTTCTTAAAATATTGCGATTTTTACACCACACGTTCCTAAAATATCTAACATGGAAATAAAAATTAAATTATGTCCTATCGATTGTTTTAAAAGTATAATTAAATGTCCAAGAAATTGGTAGTTTTTAAATGTTTGGAAGGGGGCAGATGTTCTTCACTCCCTTTAGCGGCAGCAGATAAAGGCGGTCTGGGTAGGTGTTCCTCTTGTGAAGTGGCAGAATCGGCAGTAGCTCCTGCTAAGAACGGGTTAAGGCTAGTAGGAATACTGGATGATACCGGGGGCAGTCCAGTCACAGGTTCTGGCTTCAACGGGGCGGGCATAGCCGCTGGCATAGACATGTCTACAATTACAGTTTCTGTCCTAGTGGGAGTAGTTAGGATGGCAGATGGTGGACGTACAACAGGTGAAGGGGGACTGAGCGATTCGCCACTTGTGGCCAGGTTGGTCATTTCGAAAGAAGCGGCGGCATCTTTGTCTTCAGAAAGTTCCCTAATACCCCCACGGCGGGACCCGAGAAGTCGCTTCCTTTCTTCATCGCCATCGTGATCATCTTCGTCTACCCGGTGTCGATGATGTAGAAATCCTCTTTTGGTCCCAGAACCCAAAGTGGGGCGGTGTTTTTTATCGGTGGATATTATAGAGGGCGTTCCAGAAATAATAGTCACCGGAGGCATAGTAGAGGTGGGGGAGGAAGAAGCGGGAAGTGGGCTAGATGTAGTTACTTCAGCGGATTTCCCAGAAGACATGGCAGTGGGGATAGTCTTAGATTTGAGCACACGGAGAAGTTTGTCCCATCCCCTATAATTCTGGGGTCGATGTTTGTGACTTTTACGTATGCTGTTGAGCCTCTTAATATTATTGCCTAATATTAATATTATATTTGTGATAAAATATAATGTAACTTTTATTAGGGCATTTTTTTAGTAATTGATCTTAGATTTTAAACCAATAATTAAATATTTTTAAAAATTTCTTAGCTTTATTTTAATATTAATTCTATTTAAAAATATAATGCAATGGTTAGCATAGTCACATATGAAAGTATATCAATTTATTGAAGGGAAAGGAGAAAATCATTTTGTTAGACCTGTGCGACGCCCGGCCGATATTTTTGGTTGCGCTGATATCATAATTTTACATATTTTTAAAATGGAGATCCAATGTTAGAAAGGGTGTTTGAACCACTTATGATTGGGTCATGGTTTACATAATCTGATTATGAAATATTTTTTGTTGAAGATTCTATCAAAAGAGAGAAATTATTATTGTTCTAAAATCTGCAAGGATTGGATTTGAGTTCAAATCAGATCAAAAAAAATTCCTAAGTACAATAGATCTAACATCAGATATGCTAGATATATTAATAGCACTCAATCTATACCCTGATACCGACTTTTAAATTGGCGATTCCAATGGAAATAATAATAATGGCACAGATATGAAAACAAAATAAATGTCCTAACCAGGTGGCATAGTATATTAATTATGCCTGAAAGCACTCTCATGCCTCTATTTGCCCGGCCAGCCGAATCCCGCATAGGCAAAGGCCTACCTTAAACTTGGCATCACTTTTTAGAAGTGAAACAAATTCAATAGTAAATGATAATGATAGCTCGGAAATCATTTCCTAAAGGAAAATATGCGAAACGTTACGATTTCTAGTTTTTGATCTGCAAGTAATAATATGAGTATGTTCATTGATTTAATTAACTTTTTATTTCAAAAATAATCTTCGTGTCGGCCGCCGATAGTTTCGTCGGCGCACAAATCTAATTATACCTAATAAAACGAATTTATCGATTAATTAACATGAGGAACATTTATAATTTTACTTTTTTCCACATCTATAAAACACTTTTTTAAATTTTTCTCCCCAAAAAATATGTAAAGGCGTTATTATCACAAAAAAGTAAAGCCCTTTTTCCGAGTTACTTGATACTTTATATTTTAACCGTTTTTTATTTATTGTCTAATATTTTTTAATATTAATAAAAAATATATATAAACCAGTTTTTGAAACAAATTATATACTTAATCATTATTCTTTCATCTTTTATTCTTATTCGTCTAAATATCATCAATTATATTAGATAGTAGTGATAGTGAGGATATTAATAGTGAATTATTTTAATCACTACTTTTGAAGTGAAATGAAGAAAAAAAACAATATTTGGTTTCTTTTTTTTGTGAGTAAATCTGACATCTATGAGGAAATTGGTACCAAGAATCATTGATGATTAATTATCTAAGTTATTTGAGTGAGAAGATATATCATTGAAAAATCAACAATTTCCAAACATAAAAGACTTGTTAATAAAATACAGTATACCCATGCCATCCTTGGCATCTATACTGAACAGGTGCAGATATGAAAAATAATTATTATCAAAAATTATTAAATTTTTTTATCAATGATTATAGGTATTTAGCCGGTCAAATACAATTTAGTTAATTGACCGGTAAAGATGGTCAAATTTAATTATATGTTTATATGCAGTATTCACTTTATTAGTTATAATAACAAATATACAAAATATATTCATAAATAAATGCACAATTTGGTAATATTTTAAATCATTCTTGATATTCACTTTCTCTGGCCGAGTCGTTTTCTGGTTCCATTAAATAAACATAACAAAGCTAAATAATTTTCCCGTAGTCAAAGCTTTCAATCGGATCAATTTCTTTCTGAAGAAGTTGAATAGGGAAGGGTTAGAAAGATATTTGCCACTCCTCTTAAAATGCAAGGTGGCAAAGTCCCTTCCACCATACCGATATCTGATTAATTGTTATGGATTCTACAGCAATCCAAATATTTTGTTTACCAAAGATACCTCTTACTTCGTATACTTCGTCGAATTCATTATTAGTGAATTGTTGTCCTTAATATTTAGGATCTAAAAAGTAGGCAGTATTATGATAGATCATTATTTCTTATTTAAAACACATTTATATCTTTTTATATTAGAGAAAATATTAGACAACTAAGAACAATTGAATAATATGTTGTTCTAAGATAAAAACTCTTTTTTTTCTTAGGACATTTCAACAATGACTTGGCTAGTGGTTTAAAAATCTAAAATCTTAAAATTTTTCCTCCAAAATTGTTCTTTATTTAAGGTATGATCCTAAGGTATGATCCTTTTGATCATATATCACAATTATAATCGACTAAAGCTCTTTTGCAAATGTATTTGATAGAAGCCCGCCTTATTAAAAACTAATCCAACTTAAAATAGATGATATGGCATGTTGATTTCTATAGCGGCAAAATACTATACTTGGTATATTTTTATCCTAAAAAATTTAACATTTTTTTAATAGGATATATGTGAATTAAATATCTCTATTCGTTCAAATTCCCGAAAAAATAATTGTAATGCCTGTGCGACGCATGATCCATAAAATTAAATATGGTTAAGAGACGATTTGGATTTCAAAATTCTTCAAGCAGCTTTCATATTTATTCGCATTATTCGTATCTAAAGATTACACCTTTTAGGATTTAATTCTTCATATTTTTAAAATGCTGGAAAATATAAGCTGCAGTATAGCGATTTTTCTTAAATTTCGTTAGAAAAAGTATATGTGGGATTGCGTGTTTTCTTAATTTACGATTTAATTTATCACCTAGAATCTCTAAGCATGTATGACATATTGACTTCATGATGTTATGGAATATAGGTTCAAATATTACGAAATAAGCCTTCCACTGAGGAATTTGCAAAACAATAATTTATACTATAGAAGATGAAATAAAAAAAAATCAATCTATGCAATATTTTTTCATATATTTTTGAATATTATTTTTAAGGTAACGTAAATATCATACTTTTTTTAGAAATAACCTAAATGTAACGATGTATTTTAATGGAATGTAACGGCGTTACTTTTTTTAAATAATGTAGGCAGCTCTATTAAATACAGATAAAGATAGTATATAAAATTGATTTTATAAAAATCTTCTTTTCAATCCAACAATATTACACAGCTACAAGCTAACTGTGATTTTAAGGCTTGATAATTAATTGTAGATTAATTAATATAATGGTACCTACATTAGAAAAAAATAATAAACTTTTTGCAATGATAAATAATAACAAATTATATGGACGAATGTAAGTTCCTCATTCAGAAATAAAAATTTAAGTGGCAATATACTAAACCCTTAGCTGTTCCGTTACTGGATCCGCCATTAGCTTCCGAGATAAGTCCCCCTACAAATCCGGCCTTGGCGGTATCAGTTATTATGGATTGGCTTTGTTGGACGGGATTCACGTCCAGGCTCCCTTTCATAAGCCGACGTTCTTTTTGAAGGATCTTTTTGTTGGGTTTGATGGTACCTTTGATTTTTTCAAGTGAAAAATAAGGATATTAAACCATCGCTTGAATATTAAACCCATCTATATTACATATTTTCTCATTGAGATAAGTAGGAGGAATGTTACCCTAATGGTCTATTTTAAACATTTGCATGGGCCAAATTTTTAGAAACTGATAGAATTTGAAAAAATTCAAGCCCAGCTCTGATTTCCTAATTTGATTATTTTTGGATCATGTCCGATTTTTAAAATTGATTATTAATTTTGTCCTTTTAATAAATTGCTCCAAAGGAAAATCTGAGTTATCGAATGTCCCAAAATAATTTCCCAATTAATTAATTGACATAATCGAAATTTATTAATTTTTAAATATACCTGTCCTGGATTTTAAAATAATCGATATTTTTAAACCTGGCCAGGTTTTACAATTTATTCTATAACCCGCATCAATATTTTAAATTATGCTGTCCAGGCTATTGGATCTCTGATTTTACTTAAACTGAATGTGAACTAGAGGTATGCAATAAAATATTTTAAGCGTATAAAAAAAATTTACTGTAAATATAAAGGTTAATTAGTATCGATCCAATTCAAAAAGGAAGCGAATAGGAAGAGAAATCATATAGAAAAATTGAATAATAAATTAGTAAAGAGCATTTAAAAATATGATAAATATAAGACCAATAAATTTAACAATGTGTAAAAAGCTTATAATAAAAAAATAATAAGATGCTTATTTAACTTATTTAAAAATTCTTCAATTCTAATAGATCTATCGTTCCCTTACTATTTTAATCAACTCTTCCCTCTAATGTTCAGTAGCATTAATATATATACGAGAGATTTACAAAATAAAATGAAGCAAAAACAAATCTTTAGAGGCTAGTCGAGGTCCGATTTATAAATGGAATAAAGAAATTATTCATTATGTTTTATATATTCTGAAATAGAGCTCAAATAATTTTTTGTTTGCTTATTATATTATAATTAATTACAAAATATGATATAAATGTGAAATATTTCTCACCTAATTTTTTAAGAAACTTTACCCTTTTTTTATTATTTTATTCGTGATATTTAGGACTCGCAACGCTTGGGCAAAATCGCATTTCGCTTACTATAAGCGAGGTCCTAATATGAGAAGAAAGGACAGGGATGAAATAAAAATTATTTTTTGGGATATGCCTGACCCGGTTAAGACTCTAATATAAACATTTGGACCGAAGGTATCGATATAAATACTTACGGCTAGCCTGTAAATTCAAAATATTGCTTTCCTCAGCGTCTTCGGCGAATTCGCTTGAACTCTTCAACATATCGACAGTCTTCTTAAATATTTCGAGCATCTCGAACCGAAAAGAAGATATTTCCTGTTTTATTTCGTTTATGTCATCTTCTGTAACGCCCGAATACTGCTGTTTTTTCCGCTGCATATTAGTGATGTAACGTTTCACTAAGGATCTTATAACCATCTTGGAAAATGAATGATAGGATAAATATATATTCTCCAATTCAAAATAAAGCGAAAATTTTGAATTTAAATTTTATTCTTAGTTCGAACTAGACCTATCGAAATTTTTCGACATTCGATTCAAAAAATATTTTTTAGTTTTTTTAAATTAAAGCTACTAATCAAATATTATTTTTTTTCTGGCACTTTTAATATTAATTTTTTATAGCAACCTCTTTGTTTAAAATATCTTAAAACCAAGTTAAAGCAAATATAAATTGACAGATTGCGCATAATTCCTCATTCATAGTTAGCGCGAATTCGCAGGGAATTATACAAAATAATATTTTTATCTCGGCCAAGAAATCGCGCTAACTATGAATGCATGGTAAGAAAGAGAGGGGATGAAATATTAGTCTTGATAGCGTATACTTTTTATAGACACATAAGTATAAATATCGCATGCAATCTAAAAGAAGACACAATTTAGATATTATAAAAAAATTTATACTATTAAAATATCAGAAAAAATAATAAAATATTAAAATAATCAAATTATTTATATATTTGAAAATTTGAAATTTATGATCGAATGCCTAGTCCAAGCACTAATATGGTTTAAAAAGGGATAATTTTAATTTAATTTCTGTTGCAAGTGACAAACTATCAATTATTTACATATTTAAAATATAAAGCTTAATAAAAATTATTCATTTATATCGAATTTTATCCGTATTCAATTTGAAATTTAAGTATATGAATATGCTTTCTTTGTAAAGTTTTAAAAATATAATAACTTTACTTGGTATCTTGCCTCCTTTTCATTTGCTTTCTGAAAAATTTTCTGAAAAATATATTATTATTCTATAATTTTTTTAATATTTTTGAAATAGACGATTTGTTACCATCAATAAATAATATTTTGCCGAAAGAAAATTTATAAGGAAAAAAATATTATTAAAATTATTTATGAGATTTCAAATTCAACAAAAAATAAGTGTTTAAAGGATTTTATATTTTTACAAGATATTTTTTTCCTCCTCGTGGGTTCAAATGAAACAGGGAAAGGGAAGAGGGGGGGGGGGGTATTTCCTCACCCCAAGAAAAATTTGCAAGCCTATTAAATATAATTTTATAAATAATGAAAATCATCTCGAAAACCATAGCTACCTATCCCCAATGTGAGCCTCGATGTGATGGGTAAACAAAACTCCAAAGGTGCCATAAATATAAAGCCAATATTACAAAATATACATTAAATAAAATAGATTGCATGAATAATATAAAATTGAAAGAGATATTGAATGAGCTTACCACCCGAAAAAGTGAAAACTAAAAAGAAAAAGAATCTTACTTAGTATAAAAATATACAAATTTTATTTGGAATCAAGAATTAAATATGGAGGACGATTTATTTTGAAAATTTTGAAAATAAACGACGTTGCTTTATAGAAAAAGCAATATAACGCTTTAGGAAGGTAAAGAAAAGAAAGAAAGAAAAGATAGGAAGGTGAAGCGTCAACCAAAAGTCTTCCTATTCTTAATAAAATGAATATGCTTATGGAAAGAATATTGTATGGAGCGATATGGAATAGTAAAAATAAAACCTTGATAGATCTCTCTTGATTTAGTTTACGATCGATAGAGAGCACACAATAAAGTTTATCGGCGATCCATATGCACAAGTAATATATTGATTTGGGGGAAGGAATAATGTTGAAAGGAGGCGGAACCGTCGCCCCTTCATCGAAATAACTAATCCATAACTTGGATCTTGCGAATTTCCATTCAGTATCGGCGGAATTCTTTACAAAAATCGAAAATTTTAAAAAATAATATTTTGTTATAAAGTTTTTAACACTATAAATGTTTTTATCAGTGCGTGTTAATTTTATAATATATATTGAATTAAATCAATCTAATACGTTTCTTCATTATATTATATAATGTCGTAAGAGTCTATCAAATCCGGATTTTTAGAAAATCCTTAAAAATCATTATAGTGCGCGTATAGACTAAATCATGTTTATCATAAAAAATAAAGCGTGTTATGAAAGATTTACGTTTTTTGAATTTGCGAAAAAGCTGAGTCCATGAAGCATAAGTCATAATTTTCTACTACTACGACACATATATTATACCTTATATTACACAAGATCCATAAACACAATGGAATCGACATATTTTGATTAAATTACCATTAAAAAAAAACAAGTGATTGATAATGATGAAATAATTTCAACGCATATAGCTTAAGTTTTTTTTATCAAGCGATAACGTAATATAAATAATTCTACCATATGGCCTGCGTCGCCAAAGTTTTCACAGAGTATACATTTTTATAAAAGTTGTCTAAATAAAAGGCAAAAAAATATTTTCGAAAACCAATTCCCTTTATTGCTTTAAAACACGGGTAAAGCAATATAGAAAACTGGAAGTTAAAGACTAAAATTGGCCCCTAATTATTTTTTTCTTATGATAGACCTTTAGCATTTATTTTTACCTACAATTTGATTTATAATATTTATTTTTACTATAAATAGTTTTTGAAATAAGCATTTTAAAAATTTTACAGCTGCGAAGATCACTATTTTTCGCAATGAGACCATGTATCTCGGGAATTAGGTGTGCCGGAGAGCTAAAATAAGTGGCTTCTCATTTCCTTATCTTCTAAACAATTCTATAAATTTTTAACAATTTTAAAAGGGGTCGACCGAAAATGTGCCTTTATTGATCGATTTGACATGGAATAGACCGGGAACAGATCCACAAAACCCATCTTCATATATATGCATTTACAAAATATTAAAGTCATTATATATTTTACGGAAATAATTTGATAGGAATTGGACATCATGGCAATCAGCATGTTAAGTAGAACGACAATAGCTATAGCGCTGTAAACCCCAAACATAAGAAGACCTATGAATTCTGTGTAAACATGGGGTTCTTTGAGTTCGGTGTTATCGAGGTCCACGAGGCCGAATATAGCCCAATATAGAGTTTGGACCGTTTCAAATAAGCTAAATTGCATATTAAAAAATGGATGGTTACATATAACATATCTTATTTATAATATACAATGTATAATAATTCATATTCAAACATTAACAAACTATTAATCCATAAGGAATTATTTATTAGTCTTGAATTCTCTTTTAATTATATTTTTCTAAAAATATTTGTTTTTCCTAGAGCTTTTTCTCAGATGTTACTTATTCCTATTAAGAAATTGAAAAAATTTCTATAAAATACTTTTGTTTGTTTAATGTTTAAACTTTTCAAAAAAAAAATTAACTTAGAAAAGCGTTGATATCTTTTCTGACATGAATCGCTATTTTTATCCTTATTGCATTCTTCAGCCCTCATTTCACCATAATACCAATATAACTGAGTTAAGCCGCAAGAAAACGAAAATACCTTTTCCAAAAAAAATCATAGTTTATCAAAATATCAAAATAAACGGTAAATAAATGTTTATAACAAGCTTATTCTTATTGAAACTATTTTCAACACATTATCAAGGAAATAAAAATACAACACTTACATGAACTATACATATTTAATTATTCTGACCCCTTCTACAAAAAACCTTCTAATTTTCCCCTACCACCAACATCAATATTTTCAGAGCTTAAAACATGATTTCTCTCAATTGAAACTTCTCACAAAACATTTTCAATGAAATAAAAATAAACACTCACTGGTACAATAAATAATTGATTATTCTGCACTCATCTACAACAAAAGCCATATAATCTAACAATCCAGTAAATAACCATATACCAATGTTTTAGTTATAGACTCAAACTGACAAACTTCTTAAGTATCAAACTTTATTATCATCATCAGAATGAAAGAAATCTGTCCTGCCTGTCACAAAGTTATTCATATTTAAAAAAATGACCATCAATACAAACATGGCCCTCCAGCCCTTCCTTGCTCAGAAAGGTTACTTCCACATGTTTCATCAAATATATTCATGCATAAATTGATCCCTGATATAACTAAATTATTCCCATTTTAAATCATTAATTTAAGTATTGTGGTGCCAAGAAGATGATCAATTTACCACATATCCATTCTATAAATTAATAATAACTAAGGAATTAATCAAATGAATCCTAAACTTAGCTGATGACTTTATCCAATCCTTCATTTAAAATTTATTAGTGTAAAAACAAATGTTATATAATTACATAAGTTCAGTTATCAAAGTAACAACTCATTCCATTGCAATACAACTCTTATAATAGAATCTCAAAAATACAAACAAATGGTTCATGTGGTCCTTGTTGTCCTAATATTTGTCAAGCAAAATTTTGATAGCTATTCCTACATATATTCCAAAATTAATGGATAATACATGCCTAAATAGCTATGTGAAGTAAGAATACAACAATTATATTGGCAACTATAATCCAAATGCATAATTTATGCCCCTCTTGCCATAAATATACTAAAATTACCAAAGCCAGAAAGTTTCAAGTTCATGGCCCCCCATCCTCTAGATGCCTAGGTTCAGGGTTAACATGCATAACACCTACAGATCCTCCTCCATTCTGCCTATTAAATTTAGCAAGCCATCCCCCGCCTATTGTTGCTACCAACTTGCCCCCTAGTCAGCAAACTCCCAACTTACAGCCATGGGCCAATGATTTTTTATCAGTACCCAATGTTTCCGCCATATCCCGTATTCCGCGTGGTGCTCGCAATTCTTTTGCAGAATCCTTTAACAAGTTAATCCTATTAACAGTAAACAATCCTGCAAACCTACCCTTAAAATTCCCGATAATAAAAATATCCAATTATCTAAACACATTAAAACTTCATATCTCTTTTCAACCCTGACTCTATTCCAACCCCTACACCTCAGACCCACCAATCCAATCCACTCCCTATTGCCCCTAAGGCTAAAATAGTTTCAAATAAAATAAACAGCCTTAATATCAATTCAGCCCTTCGGGTCATGACCTCTGAAGATTCCTTAGCTCCAAACAATGAGTCCACTCTAGAAGCCTTGCTTCTAAAACACCCTTTCATCCAAGACATTTTAAAACCTAACATATCATGCAAAGCCCTTTTGCAGAACCTTACCAGGTTATTAAATTTAATTCTTAATGGGCCCCTCCCACCACCTATCATTCCTATTCTCTTTGGTGCCCGCCTTATAGCCCTCAAAAAAAAGGATGGAGGTATCCGCCCAATTGCTGTTGGGTCGTTCTTCAGAAGGGCTATCTCTAAGATCATTGCCTCACGAATAAAGGAATCTCTTTCTTCATTCCTGTCGCCACTTCAGCTAGGGTTTGGTGTACCTGGAGGCTCTGAAATTTCGGCCCATCTTGCTCGCATTACCCTCTCAAATAATATTCCAGACAATGTCGTTTTAAAACTTGATTTCAAAAATGCTTTCAATACAATCAAACGTCAATATTTCGTTCCCTTGTTTTGCCACAAATATCCTCAATATTCTACATACATTCTCAACAGTTACTCTAGCCCTACTTTTTTAAAGTACAATAACAACATAATAAAATCTCAGGAGGGAATCCAACAAGGTGACCCCTTAGGCCCAGCCCTTTTTTGCATCGGGATACACAAGATAATCCTGGATATTCAATCTATATCTAACCTCACTTTAAATTCCTGGTACCTCGATGACGGTATAGTCTCAGGCAACCTCTCCACAGTCATGTCCATTCCCTCCATCATCGAAAATATCTCTTATATAACAGGACTATCTCTCAACCTCTCCAAATGTGAGATTTGTTTCTTAAACGCTACAACATCCATCCCTTCAGAAACCACATTCCTAGCCATCAACAGAGAAGAGATGACACATCTTGGATCACCGATAGGGGGTGAAAAAGCAATTTTTTTAAACAAATCCCTCGACAATTTATCTAATTTAAACTCACTTTTTAATTACCTACCCGCTCATCCATCAATCCTTTTTTTTAATCAAAAACTATTTTAATATACCTAAAATCCTCTATGCCCTGAGATCTTCACCAATCTTCAAATGCAGCCATTTGCTAGTTTCCCACGAAACCCAAATTAAGGATCTCCTAGAAAACATATTAAACCTTAAATTCTCCAATTCATCTTGGCTCCAGGCCACCCTTCCATGCAAGTCGGTGGTATTGGTATCCGATCCCCCTTACAACTTTCCCTCTCAGCCTTTATCTCATCTCGTCTTGCTGCTCAATCTCCTTCAGATACTGACCTCTCACAGGCCCTCACCTTTTGGGACAACAACTGCTCCCCCACCCTTAGCCGTCCCGCTTCCAGTACCCAAAAAGACTGGGATGCTCCTCTGATCGCCCGTTCCGATGAATATCATATTTCGAACAGGACCTTTGAGGAAAATCCCAATAATTTGGTACTAAATGCAAACTCTGGCTACGAATGGTTGGAAGCCATCCCCAGCGCCAATCTTGGCCTCCTCATGACTGGCGAACAGTGACGTATATCTATAGCCCTCCGCCTCGGCTGTAATGTCGTAGTTCCCTCCATCTGCATCGACTGTGGTCAGCCCATTGAATCGAAGGCTTACCATCCCTAGCACTGCAAGTTCTCCCGTGGACGACAACCTCGTCATAAATCTATCAATAACATTTTACTAGCCGCCCTCAAAAAAGTTAATATCCCATCTACCCTCGAACCAGTAGGTCTTTCAAACGAATACGCCATACGCCCGGATGGTATTTCTCTCATACCCTGTTCTAATGGTCTTCCGCTAACATGGGATTACACTTGCGTTGATTTTGCAGCCAAGTCTAACCTCTCATTTTCTGCTATCGAAAAGGCAGAAATCCTTAAAAAAAATAAATACGCTGGCCTCGCCAACACTATGTTCATTCCTATCGTTACCAATACCCTAGGCATGTTTGGAAACGAGGCCCTCAATTTCATTAAAATCATAGGAAAAAAAATGAGACAGATCTCAGGGGACCCCAATGAAGGATTTTACCTTCGCCAGCAGATTTCCCTGGAAATTTGCCGGTCTAATTTTTTAAGTATTCACTCTTCTCTTGGATGATATATATCCCCCTTTTTTTAAATATATATTTTTTTTTATAGTCCTTTTTAATGTCTTCATAGATTATATATATATTATATATTTATTTTTTTTATATTTAATTTTTAATATATCCATTTTAATATATATTTTTTAATCCTCTGTAATTTAATGATTATGAATAAATAATAAAGTTTAAAAAAAAAAATTTAAGAAATATATCACAAAGAAAAATATAGATTTATATAAAATATCAAAGTATTTTATAATAATTCGAAATTATTATTAGTGTTATAAAATATCTTTGATTTGTCATTGAGCCCCCCCCCCCAATCTTCTTACTGCAGAATAAAAAAATTATAGTAAAATATTAAATAACGAAATGATCCTACTATTCCATATAATAATTTAATTTATATATTAAAAAAAGAAGAAAAGTTGCAGATAAAAATACTTACGACTAATAGAATGATAATGGAAAATCTTAAGACGTCAAATGTCATTCTACCCAAGGTGATTTGCAATGGTCCCAGGTAAGGATTCACAGTGAAGATATAAACGAGTTTTAAAGAGCTTTTTATGTAAATGAAAATAAATCATATATTATCAGAGTTTTTAAAGCATACTGTCAAATGTATCTAGAAAAGATGCATGGCCTAAAATGGTGTTTTGAATATGAGATACTTTAAATATAACAGTTCTATGTCAATAGGGCCAGATATTTACCGCGAAACATTTTTCCCATTTATCGCGAATGTTAATTTTAGTGAATAAATTTTATTGGATAAAATTTTATAGTGAACGTTTTATCGCAAAACTACATTTGAGAAAATTATTGGGCAAATATAGTATATCTAAACATTATAGTAATATATTTAAAGTAAAACCATTATCACGAATCAAAAATTGTAAAGACTTAGCAACGACGTCATTATCGCAAAACTATAATGAAAATAATATGGAGAAGGACACAATCGCGAAGACAATATCGCAGTGTTCAAATATATTATCTATAAATTACTTTAAAGGCCAGATTAATAGATTTAAAAAATAGATTGAAAAATTAAAACAATAATAAATAAAACTCTTAATTTTTTTTAATTTAAAATATCAAGCTTAAAACTGAAGAAAAAATATTTTGACCCACATTCAGAATTTAAGGCTTCTTCGCAATTAAATAGGACGTGTTAAATTAAATATAGAAATTCTTAAATGGGTGATTTTTAGTAATTCTGGCATGAATTATTTCCCATTTTCGTCAATATATATTTATCAAATTATTTCTTAACTTAATTATTTTACGTAGAGCGTTAATTATTTATACCAAATTATAACTGGTATCTTTAGAATTAAAGTATAAAATTTTTGCATCTTGCGCTGGTGATTATATTAATAAATTCACCAGGTTGCTATAAGAAATATTTTAAAATAATTTAATTTTAGATTAAATTTTAAAATCTTTTTCTCTGGAATATTTATAAATATAGAGTAATTAATTAAAGACAGGGCAATAACCAAAGAATTTTAATTAGGTTAATCTTCTTTGCAACCTCTTTTAAATTATTTTTTTTTAACTTGTATATATCAGAGACCTGAATTTTTTAAAATTAATAAGCGGGCAGGGCCGTATATTTTAAAACCAAATATTTCAGATCGCTATTAGCTATAAAAATTAAAAATAAATTATCTGGGCCGGGCAAGGTCAAAAAAACTTTTTAGAAAAAAATCCGGGCCGGGCCTTGCAAATGACGAACCTGAAGATATATCAATTGCAAAGGCCCGGGATGTGTAAACATTTTTTTGGCCCAGCCAGTATTTTTTAATTTTCAGATTTATTTTAATTTAGATAAAATAGTTTTTAAATGATAGGAAATACTAGAAGTGATTGAATGTGATATATTATTCAATTATACAACAATTTTTAAATATATTTTATTTTATTATTTTATATATAATAATCGCGATTTAAAATATTCGGCCCGGCCTGGGTGTATTTTAACTTGAGGCCTGCAGGTCTTCTGATATAATATATAAAGTCTAAAAAAATAGCGCTTTTTAAAGTGGTGCAGCGAATGGAAAACGATTTTAATGAATTTTATAACAAACAAATAAACTCTACAAGGGAAATTTCTTAAGGTTTATTCCGCATATAAAATAGGCCAAAAGAAATAATGCTTTTAAGATGAATTCTCTTGGCTAAGCATAGGGTTTATTTTATAATTACGTGAACTATTATTTGAAGAAGGACAGTAGAATGTTGCAAAGCTAATTAGAAAATTTCCAAATTTCCAAATAGGATCAATTCTTTGAACCGTTCTAAGAGTTATTAAGATTTTGATTCAATTTCTCGATAAATATATCTCTGATCTCAAAATGTTTACTCTGCAATTATGGCCCAGAGAGAACGTACAGAGAAAAATTTCAAAATTCTATTTAATCATAACATAAGAAAATTGATATTAATTTTGATTCAAGGTAAAAAAAAACATATGTCAGCGTAAAGCATTGCAACAATGGAATCGCTATAAAGGTTTTGCTAATAAATTCCCGCTAATAGGTTCACGATTCTACCTTCATTATAAAAGTTTTGGCAAAAATTTCGCTGAATTAGCTTTGCAATATTACCTTGCTCTAAAGCCCTTCACGATAAATGACATTCGCAGTAAATGAATAATTAGCGAAAAAATGGTTCGCAAATAAAGTTAAGCTATATTGACTAGTTTTATGCATCATTTTGATTTGATTGATAATTAGGAAATGGTAACGTATTGATAAGAAAATATCTATTTTTTTAAAATTCAAATTGTATACTTTTATTTTGAAATGTAAACTAAAACCTGAAGATATTGGCAGCAGCGAACAAACCCTCGCTTATTAGAGTCGGGTCATTAGCCACCCAATCTTTCCTAGGAGCGAAGGCGGCTTCGTTATGTTCCGATATTTCCTTTTGAACCTGTATGTCATATATTTTAAATTTTATTATATTTTGGTTTCCGAAATTATTAAATAAAAAGAAAGAAAGACTATACCTGCAAATAAGCAAGAACTCTTAGAGTTATGGTAGCGATATACAGGGCGTTAGTAATAAAATCAATGACGTTCCACATATCTTCTAGGTACTCCTGAAATCCTTCCACCCAAAGTTGCTTTATTTCACCCCAAACTAAACCTTTTCGGCATTTAAGAGATAAAGATCAGAGATAATAAATTATTGTAAAACTCCTCATTTTTTAAAAAGAATCATTTGTATAATTATATTTTTTAAAAAAATGTTGGTTGAAAAACTGTTGACAAATAAATAGATGCCTTACAGGGTTTCCCATCCAAAATCTCAATCAAAAAAAAATTGGCAATCATAAAAGAAAAAGTGCCGATCAAAATAGAAAAGTGTCAATCAAAAAAGGAAAAGCGTTATATTTTTAATTATTTAATAAAAAAAAATTGTTGACCATTTTATAACCCTGAAATATGATTTTTAATAATTTTATTTTCCCTGTCAATTTTCTTCATCTCTATTTTTATGTCATTTTTTAATTATTCGTTTTCTCTTTTTCATTATGCTACACTACAAAACAATTTTTTGACTTTTTATAATTGTTTCGCCTATTTTTTAATTAGTTTATTTCATTACAATTGCCGAATTAATTTAAATTAAATAGAATTACCAAACGATATATAATTTAAAGGTTTCAGTCCTTTTTGTCATTGATACAAGTATATCTTTTAAAATGTCTTGAAGATATGGTAGTAACAAGGAAAAAAAACATTGATAGTGCTGCAAAAGTTCTAATAATTGACGCGAGGATAATATTAAAAATATAGCATCATGTTTTAAAGTAAGCTATAAAGCTGTGACAAATATAAAATACTTTTAGCTTAAAAATGGAATAAAATATATCTTACCCTCAAGTGCATGCAAAAAACTAAATCTTAGATTGCACCTCATCCTTAAAAAAGTTATGTGAAATGATTAAAGAGAGATATGAAGTAGACATATCAAATCAAAAGGTGACTATTTGGATTTAGGTTTAGTTTTATAAGGGTATCAATCACTACATTCAATTAGAGAAATATCCGAATAAATATCGAGAGGAATATATGAATTGGTTTTGGATGTAGCTTATACGAAAGAAAATTTATTTTTACCAATGTGAGCGGGTTTTCAATATTAATGAGAAGGTTATAAGGATTCTCACAAGTAAATAAAATGGCTATTAAAAATGTCCAAGGGATAAATACAATAAATTATAATATCAATATACTGCTCTCATGCGGAAATATTCAGACTCGATGTTCTTGATGGCCCCTGCAAGACTTAGAAACTTTGTAGATAAAATACTAAATTTTTTGAAGAAAATAATATGATGAATATGATTTTTGCGACGGATAATATCCAATTTCATTATAAAAAATTATAGAATCGATAGAAAGGAACAGGAATACATTAAAATATATATCAGAGACCTATTTTAAATATTTTAAATATTTTAAATATACCCGGGCCGGGCCTAAAAAATTTTTTTTAAAATATATCCGATTGTTAAACTCGGGCCGGGCCTTAATATTTTTTATAAAAATTTTTACATTATGAGTTAATGGTTATAAGATTATTTTATATTATAGTTATGATTAATATAATATTGGGTGATGGTTAACACTACCTAACACCCACAGATCGATCTAATTATTAATTTCCTGCAAATTTATTCAAAGTATTAATATATTTTTTTATAATTCATATCTAAATTATTACAACATATTTTACCAAAACAATCAAATAAAGGAATATCTTAAATAAGCCCCAATATTCAAGTATTATTAATATATTTTTTTATAATTCATATCTAAATTTTTAGAATATTTACCAAAACAATCAAATAAAGGAATATCATGGCACCAAATACTAATGATATAATTAATAAAATTAAAAATAATATTTATTCATTTAGAAATACAAATAATATTTTAAAATCTAAAATATGGGCTAAATTTAACATCATCATAGATGAAAATAAAAAAAACATTGGCTACGCACAATGTAAGAATTGTTCAAGTATATTATCTTATAATTATAAACATTGGTAAATCCATGAAAATTAATAAATTTTTTTTTACACCTGAAAAACCAACCTATAAATGTAATATAAAATATTTAAAAGAAAAATTTATAGATCATTCCTTAACACTTTGCGCAAAAGATATTAGACCTTTCGAAATGATAGCTGGGAATGGGTTTCTTGAATTCAGCCAGGCTCTAGTCGATGTTGGGGCAAAGTATGGTAAAATAGATATCAACTCATTGATTTCACATCCTACCACTCTATCACGCCCCCTTAAAGAAAAATGTAATAAAATAAGAAACATTTTGGTTGATACTATTGCCCCAGTAATCAAGAATCTATTTATGGCTGCTTCCACTGATATATGGTGCGATGACCATAAAAAGAACTCGTTTATAACAGTTAACATGCACTATATATCAGATGACTGGAAGTTAGTGAAGAGAAACCTATTTACCGCTAAATTAAGTGTCAAAGACTAGCAAAGTAGTTAAGGATGAACTATTAAAAAATTTTCATAATTTTAATTTTAACACTAACGATTTTATTAATATAATATTTGTTACAGACCAAGGTAAAAATATTATAAAAGCATTGGAGTTAAATGAACGATTAAATTGTTCTTGTCATATATTAAATACAATTTTAAGAAATTCATATTTGGAAAGTAATGCCCCATTAATAAAATCAACAATAGATAATACTAAAATATTAGTGGGGCATTTAAAACAAAGTAATAAATGTGAGCATTTGAAGGCCCTTTATCAAGATATAGAAGTCCACTGGAACTCTAAATACAATATGCTCAATTCTGTTTATTCTCAAAATGAAGAAATTATAAAAGTTCTTCAAGAACATGGGGGATCGGAAAAGTATTATATTATAGACTTTCCGATCCTTCAGGATCTAGTCAAAATTCTTGAGAATTTTAACAGAGCTATTGTTGAGTTACAGTCGGACTCTTGTACTCTTTTTAAAGTGGTAATTTGGTATTATGAACTTCTTGAAGTTTGTAATACCTTTCAAAGCGAAAAAGGAGAAATAAAATTGATTTTACTTAATATAAAGCATTTTTAATTGAAAAATTTGTTTTACACAAGTATCATTTTATTTCTCTTTTTCTCTGTCCCAAATTCAAGCAATTACGTATGTTGTCAGGGACAGATCGCAAGATGACGGAAAACTATATAAAAGATTGTATTAAATTACAAGAGGCTCAGGAAGTAAATGAAATACCATCGACCAGTCAAATTACGACTGTTGTCAAACAAACTGAATCGTTTTATGACAAATGGGGCAATGGTAATTCTGGTAATATGTCAATACCCGATGATGAATATTATAATTACATAAATAAAAAAATAGATGAAACATTTAAGGTGGATAATTTGTTAGAGTGGTGGGCGGCTCATCAAAGCGAATTTCCAATTTTAGCTAAATTGGCAAAACGGGTATTAGCAATTCCTGCTTCAAGTGCAAGCTGTGAGCGGAATTTTTCCACTACTGGGAGAATTCTTGAAGAAAGAAGAAGTAATCTTCAACCTGAAAAGGTAGATATGCTTCTCTATCTTCATGATAATTTGTGAATTTTTAATATCTTTCTTGAGTATAGGGTTTCTTCAATCATGCTGGTTTTTTACTTTGCAAACTGTCAAATATTTATTGCATTTATTATATTTTATCTTGAGTCATGAAAGTTTTTAATCCAACATTTTTCATTATTTTTTTTTACAATAATACAATTATCTTTTTTTGTTAAAAATTTATATTATAAAATAAATTATATTAATATTGTGCAATTAGATTATATTTTCAAAATACTATTTATTATACATGCATTTTTTTAAATAGCGATTTATTTTTATTTTATAAATTAAATACAATATATTATATTCTCAAAATATTTTCCATTTTTATAAGTTAAATATTAGTTTTATTATTTTTAAATGCAATATAAAATATAGTATATGCTCAAAATATTATTACCATTTTTATGAATATTAGTTTTATTTTTATAAATGCAATATAAAATATAGTATATGCTCAAAATATCCATTTTTATAAATAACAGTTTTATAATTTTTATAAATTCAATATAATATTCTCAAAATATTAGCTTTTTACATGTATTTTTTAAATAATAAGCGATAATACTCGCTGAAAAATATGGTAAAATACCTCATAGGTGAATTTTTGTATATACCAGGTCGAATATAATTTTAAAAAATTCCGAGCCGGGCCTGAAATTTTTAAATCCTGGCAGGGCCGGGCTATAAAAATTTTTTTAAAAAATATCCGGGCCGGGCCGGGCCTTAAATTTTTAAATCCGGGCCGGGCCTAAAAAATTGAAAACCGGGCCGGGCCGTGCAAATGGTGCCTCTGCAGGTCTCTGATATATATTAAGCTTAAATTTATAAAAGTAGCAATTTCTGACTAAAAACAGTAAATTAAATTCTTTTTTAGGAAATAAATTTTTTTAAACCTGCTATCCAAGCCAATATCATCCACTCAAAATTGGTAGGCGGAGAACCCCTGCGTTCGTTTTTGATGTGCTGCTGTTCACCCTGAACTATCATAGTTATATTTTCAATCCGCTGAGATGCCAAAATCAACAACACTTATTATTCGTACGATTAATAAATTAAATTATATCTATAAATTTTAAAAAGAGAAAGCGAGAGTAGCCTAAAAGTATATATTATTTATAAATAATTGATAAGTTCAAACCCAAAAAGGTGATATAAGAAGCGCTGTTGCATATGAATTTGATAAAAGGTTTTTTCATGACGCGCCCGGGCATATTGTGAGGAGCCAATATGTAGCATATAGAAAGGATGGGGAAAACGGCGGCTATGGAAAGCACTATAAGGGTTCGAGATAATAAGTTGCGCCTTCTGTAACCGGGTAACCCCTCAGCCCATATTGCTCCTAGGAGCTGTTGACAATTGGGATGAGATACAAACTATTATGTGAAAAATCGAATTGTATAAATATTATAAATACAGTTAGTTATACGCACTTTTATAATATTATAGATTAAAAGAGAGGATCATATTGATTAAAAGATCATCATAAGTTTATTAAATAATGCATTATATCGAAAGCATTTTTTAATTTTAAAAATCATAAATATATCCTGTCAATTTATTCTCGTGTCCGGAAGTTAATTCTATGGTTATTTATATGTAATCTCTTTTATAAGTACCAATTTTTCCATTTAATATGACATGTTCTGATCAGATTTCCGTTTTAAAAAGGCTTTAATAAAATCAATCATTGTTAATTGTTATGTCTGGAGAATAATATTTAGATTTTCACAAAAATTCGCAAATTCTTGCAACCGTTCTAGTGTTTTTTTAATGTTTTGATTGTGAAATAACTAAAGATAAGTTCACCCTAAGAAAAGTGCTACTCATCACATATATGATCCTATATTACATATTGTATATATAAAAGAATCTGAACCCGAAAAAAAAGTTATATAGGTTCGGTTCGCCTTAATAGATAATTACAGAACCCCATGCATCTGCTCAAAAAATAACTTTTCGAATGTTGCCATTTTTATAAATACATAATAAATTTTAATTATCTATAACTATTTTTATTTATTTTTTTTTTAATTTTATTTATTTTATTTAATTTTATTTTTTTTTATTTTATTTTATTTTTTTATTTTTTTTCTCTTTAGCTTTCACCTTTTCTGGTGGTAAGCTCCTTCAACCTATCTCTCCACTCTATGTTATTCATACAATCTCTTTTATCTAATTTATACTTCTTTATATTGGCTCTAACTTTATGGCCCCATTGAAGTTTTGGCCTTCCTCTTTTACGTTTGCCCATCACTTCCAAACTCTCAACCTTATTTCCTATGTAGTTCATAGGCCTTCTCATTGTGTACCCATACCACCTAAGTCTGTTTACCATTAACTTAGTCTTAATGGGCACTACCTTTAAACTACTTAGTATTCTTATACTGCGCACTTTATCCTTTCCTGTTACCCCAGCAATCCTCAGATTCTCATCTCCATAGTTTGTAGACTTCTCTCGTCTAATTCCTTGGTTGGCCATGTTTCCGAACTATATAGAATAGTTGGTTGTACTATGGAACTGTAAATTTTTCCCTTTTGTGTGGGATTCTTTTGTCAAATAGCACTCCAGATTAGATCTCTGCTTTAACCACCCTTGATTAATTTTACTCTTTATCTATTTTTCTATTGTGCCGTTTGTTTGTATAGTGGAGCCCAAATATTTGCAGCTTTCAATTGCCGATATCTGCCATTCATTTATATCAATACTCTCTGTTTCATCTCCTCCTATCATCATATACTCCGTCTTTTCTCTATTTACTTTTAGTCCGTGCTTTTCTAGGATATTTATCCAACTCACTAATCTTTCTTTCATTTCATCCTTAGATTTGGCAAGTATCACAATATCATCTGCAAATACCATATTCCACGGGACTGTTTGAGGTATAGACTGTGCTAATACATCTATTACTGTAATGAAGAGAAGTGGGCTGAGAGCCGACCCTTGATGAACTCCTTCGGCTATTGTGAAATCTGCTGAAGTACCTGTTGTGCTACGGACCATTGTTGTATGGTCCATATGCATATCCTGTATTACTCTTATATATTTTTCGGAAATAATACAGGATCTATAACTATTTTTATATAACCTATTGTATATAAAATTATACTTAATTTAAATAAAAAAAATATATTCAATACCATAGATAAAATTTTAAAGATAGTGAGGGTATGGGTGATATCTATAATATATATATATAAATGCAGTATGTCACAACAAATTTAGGCAATAGTATTCTTTTAAGAAATATTCGTCCAATAAAAATCATTATGCAATAAGCCAATTGCAATTTCTATCATGTGATTATATATTTTATTTTTAATATTTATAATGATAATTTTATATAATACCCAAGATACCTCACCAGAAGACGTTAAAGATTTTGGTAATTTATGTTATATATATGATTTTATTTTAATAAATATTTCACATTATATACTCAAGGTCAAGATGCTTCAGATTTAGATAAATTATTAATATGTGAAAATCTATCAAAATTAAAAAATATAGCCTAGCCATTTCATCAAAGGGTTAATAATTAGATTTTCACAGTATCAAATTATCTGTTTAAATTATCAAATATATTTTTATTAAATATTTTTACTTAAATAAATCTAATAAATAATATACAATCTTTGGATGAAAAAAAAATATTTAGTTCTAACAGCCCAATGCATATATGCAATCTTTCCTAAGTATGGCTCATCATTCCCCGGAATATTTTTTCCGAAAAATTAATTAGTGGTAAAATTATAACCATTTTATATAATGTAAAATAAAAGTAAGAAAGGAGAACAACATTATGTGATATCTAATACAAAAGAGATTAATTTTAGATAATTTGAAATAAATTGATATTTTTTAAAGAAATAAGGCCTGATGTTAAAATCGGTTTTTCGAAATTTGCAAGCATTCGCCCAAAAAATTGTATGCTCGTAGGAGGTAGTGGTACACATAATGTTTGTGTTTGCAGCTACCACCAAAATTTTAAATTAATGATCATTGGATCAAATTTACCCAATTTAACCAAAGATGATATGTTGCCCATTAAAACATATAAACATATTTTACCCTTAATAATTTGTAATCCGCCTCAACCATCCTGTTATTTGGGCAAATGTGATAATTGTCCAGGGTCAACAAATTTACGCCACCAAATAGAAATATTGTTTCGTTCTAAGGACATCGAATTTATAACATACAAACAATGGCTATCCGTAGATAGAACCACTCTTGAAACAATAACCAAGCCAGTAGATGAATTTATCAATGCCTTTTTTGAAAAAATGGAATCTTTATTACCCCATTCTTTTATTTCAACGCAACAATCATTGTATCAAAAAAATCTAAAATTGAACTTAGACAAAGGCCAATATTTAATTTTATGTGATTTTTCAGAAAACTATAGCTTTATACTGATGAAGTACAAAGTTATCATTGGAATAGAGCTCAATCCACTGTTCACCCTTTTGTTATATATTATAAAGATAATTTAGCCAATATTTGTTGCCTAAATTATGTAATGATATCCGAATCTTTGCAACACAATACAATAGCAGTACATTATTTCCAAAAAACATTGGTAAATTTTTTAATTAATAAAATTTGTATGCCAAATAAAATTTTTTATTTTTCCGATGGATCTGCTGCACAGTATAAAAATCGTAAAAATTTTATTAATATTTGCCATCATGAGATGGATTTCGGGATACAGGCGGAATGGCATTTTTCTGCTACAGCACATGGGAAAAGTGTTTGTGATGGGATTGGTGGCACTGTTAAAAGATTAGCCGCTAGAGCTAGTTTACAAAGACCTTACTCAAAGCAAATAACCACATCATATGAATTGATGGAGTTCGCTAAAGAAAATATTAATGGCATATATTTTGAATATATGACCCAAGAAAATTATGATCACGAAGAAATATTACTCAGGGAAAGGTTTTCAAAAACGAGACCTATACCTGGAACACAGAAAATTCACACGGTGATAGGTCTACATCAATTTAAGAGTAAAATGTATTCCAATTCAATAGAAAGTAATATAGAATATTTATCATATAATGATGAAAGTATCATTTTTGGAGAGATATCAGGGTATATAACATGTGTTTATGATTCTAATTGGTGGTTAGCCTTAGTTTTAGGGAAAAATCAAAAGGAGGAAGAAATATATATAAAGTTTTTACTCCCATCCGGACCTTCTAATTCCTTTACATTTACAAGTATAGACGACACTCTATACTTGCCAAAATGTCATATCTTAACATTAGTTTCACCGTTAACTGCTACTGGCCGTAGTTACACATTGTCGTCACAAGAAAGTAAATGCGCTACCGAAAAATTAGAATCTTTTAAAAGTGAGTTATATATTAGATTTTAAAATTTATATTATATCAATTATTTTTAATATTTAGGGCGCCATATATGAAATGCTAAAGATTCTTATTCATATATTCAAGAAGTATAAATTTGGTTGAATATATTTTATTAATATTAATATATGTTATATTAAAATTATAAATAAAGTAATAAATTGAATTTCTTTTATCGATAGGCAATTTCTATAATTGAATGAAAGCCCCATTTATTGTTATTTTCACTTACAAGATAAATACTCCTTTAAACTATATCAAATAGTCTAAGAAAAACCATTAAAAACTGATTTAAATATAAATTTATGCAAAGACGCCCCCTTTCGGGAAAATATTTATACACTTTTCTAAACATTTTTATCGATTTTGAGAATGAAGATGGCCTCATCCCAGACCAATTTTTTTTTATAAATATAAAGGAAGAGTTCAGTGTTGTCTACTAAATTTTTTTAAAAAATTGAAGGTCGTATTATTTTCAAAAAATAGTTTTTAGTCCTTATATATTTAATAAAATGGCCGGAAATTGAAAAAAAATTTTTTTTTTTTTATCGAAAAGTAGAATCTTTGTACGTAATTTTGATATTAAATTTGTTATTTACAATTAGATAGTTTTTAAGATATGCTTAATTGAATGAAGGCAGATAATGGTAAAAATACGTCATTTTTGTCACTTTGAACCCTAATATCTCCAAAAATATAAATGTTACAAGGCTAAAATTTTGGCTATTTCTTAACTACACTAACCTTTCTTTGCTTACTAAATTTTAAAAAAATCGAATGGGGTCGGCCGAAAATCTCATTTTTTTTGCTCATTTGACATGGAATGACCCATATATAACATCCGTAATCAAGAAATGAACGTTTTCGCATAATCTTAATGTTGTTTAATTTTTTCTATTAACTTTCCTATCATCTTAATGTTAATTTTATTCTTTCTATCAACTTTCATACATTTTAATGTTAATTTTATTTTTCTATCAACTTTCCTATCATCTTAATGTTAATAAATAGATGGAGACTATTTACCTCTAATGTTAAATTAATTTTTTTTAAAAAAGAAATTTTTTTAAAAATAGTTTTATACATCAACGAGATTCGATCCCCAAACTTAACGTTCCATAGGCAAACGTTCTTTCCAACTCAGCCCTCTTCTATCTTAAATTTTGTAATATAATTCTTCTTATATATGAAACTATATTTTGATAAAGTATCAATATTAATTTTTTTTTATTGCTCCAGGCTTGGGAAAAAAAATTCAAAATTATTATCGGTTGGCCAGGTTTGAGAAAAAATTTTAAAATTATAATGGGCTGAGCTTAGAAAATACTTTTATAAATTATATTGGGCTGGGCTAGGGAAAAATTTTTCAAATTATTATGCTTGGACGCTAAGGAATTTTTTTTATTAACTATGGATCAGGCATTGATCTAAAACAAATTTTTTTGTAGGCCTGGGCTTGGCCTGATCAAAAAACCAAGGTCATATTTTATTCCAGTTCTCAACCACCAAAATTATTATGATCTTTGGTTGGTGTTGGAAAAAACTTTTCAAAATTATTATGGCCTTAAACCTCGCTTGGGATTTTTCCAATATTAAATATTAGGCATAGGTGATCAGTAATATTTTAACATATAATATTGATATGGGTATCAAGTAAAAGCTTTAAATATATTTTGACTCAAAACATAGTATTTACACTTATTTTATTCCAGTTCTCAACCACCAAAATTATTATGATCTTTGGTTAGTGTTGGAAAAAACTTTTCAAAATTATTATGGCCTTAAACCTCGCTTGGGATTTTTCCAATATTAAATATTAGGCATAGGTGATCAGTAATATTTTAACAAATAATATTGATATGGGTATCAAGTAAAAGCTTTAAATATATTTTGACTCAAAACATAGTATTTACACTTAGTTTTAATGGATTGGACTTGGCCTGAAAGGGGGGGGGGGTTATAAAGAATAAAAATTGGATTTTATTTTCAAATAACATGTAACAACTATTATAAGAGTAAGGAGAAAATTCTCATTCCCCGTCATTTTTAAAGGACTCAGCAATGCTGACTAATGGGAGGTACTCTTAGTTATATATTTTTCATTTTGCCCATCAAGAAAGACGACTACAAATTAAGAATATCTTATGAGGTATGATTCACAAATTTACCTCTTCTCCTAAATTTTAATATTTTTATAAAATATATTAATAAAGTATATTTAGTACCATATACACAAACTAATTACCCCTCAACCCCGTCATTCTTGACGTGTTATTATCTAGTTATTTAATAAATATGAAGGGCTCGCATGATGCCCAGTCTTCCCTATATAAACTAGTTAAATATTTTTATTTCAACGCAATAGGGAACCGATTAAATGAGATTTAAATTCTACTTAAAATAGCCCAAAAATTAAGTTATAAATATCTATATTAAACTAAAAATGTATATAATAATATTGTTGGGAAAAAAAATGATGCGGATTTAACTAGAAGGATAGGTATCCTTCTATGGTAATCAAAGTGTTAGGTAAAAATTCATAAAGAGGTAAGCTTTCAAAAATTTAGGGGTCCTGATCCCGGTCCAAACTCAGTTTAGAAGAAATGTAATTTTTTTTAGATAATTTGTTCACTAAATACAATATATAAAGATGAATTTTGAACAATATACTATAAATTTTTGATTACACCTATTTTGATTCTTTAAATATTTATTTTAAAAAATCTGTTCCAATCTCGCTTTCTAGAAAACTTAAAAGGAGATTCTAATTCTAGTATCAGTACTTAGCTATGACCTGGTTCTGTTCATATTCCAAACTCAGTAATATAATACGGTCCGTCTACACGGCCAGGTCGTATTTTAATTTTTTAAAAAATACCCGAGTCGGGGAAGGGCCATATATTTTAAAAAAATCGGGGCCGGGCAGTTTAAAAAAAATCCGGGACGAGCAGGACCTGAAAATATAAGGCTCAGCCGGGACAGGCCGAAAATTTTTTATAAAAAAATCCGGGCCGAGCCAAAAATTTTTTAAAAACAAAACCTTTGCAGGTTTCTGGTAATAGGTAAGCAAAAAAGAGTTATTATTCTTTTTTTTAAATATCCGAACCTCTTTCTGCCCGTATTTAATGGCCGATTTGAGGCGAGAGAGATGCATGCGTTCCTTGCCCCAAGCGGGTATGAGTGCCTTAGTTGTCTCTTGGCGCCGCCTTGCCTCTGCTTCCTCCTCTTCCTTTTCTCTAGCAGTCTTTATATGCTTGATTTTTTTAAGATTTTTGATAAACCGCCAAATCGAGCGGGCCAAGCGGGGAGGCCCGCGGAAAAACCACAGTATAGAGTCGTCGTTTCCACCTAGGCTGGCTCTACCGCCTCCCAGGAAAGTGCCTGACCTGGACATAGACGAGGAGAAGACGGCGGCAAAAGCAGAACTTATTTTGGCCGCCGATACCGATGAGTTGTAGTACATGTCTATGAATTTCTCCGTTTCCACGTGATTAAGGATAACCTATTAGGGAATGTAAATGGGACAAATGATTCTTATTATTCATTGTTGCTTTTGTCTTTAGTGGCAAAATAAAAATGCCACTTCAAATCGTTAAATTTCATTTTCTATCATTTAATTTCTTTCATCTATATGTTTCCCATTTTAGTCTGAGTATTCCTCACTTCCATTTACCATTTAATCAATCTGTATAAATTGCCTCTCATATTTCTCTACCAAATCATCTTAGATATTTGAAAATCAGATTATTTAGAATGATAAAATATTAGAGACCAGATTTTTTATAAAACATATTATTTTGGAGTTCAATTTTTTTATCTTTAAGTCCTACATTTTGTCGTTTAATATCACTTTGACTTTATTTTGAAAAATGTTTTAAAGAGAAATTGAAAATATGAGAGCAATATATGGTTAAAAAAACAATTATCCATCTGCGAAAACTGATATAAAACGTTGAACCTATTGGTGTTTGTGTTTTGATAAAAATATTATAATGCCGTAAACTATCCTTATATACAAGAAAAGTTATTGTTTTGGAGTGGTGTTTGTGGCAAGCCACTATGTAATCTTTATGCTTTTCTCTTCTATATTTCTCATGATTGTAGGAAATAATATAGCATAGGGGCTTCACTTTTTGAGGAAGCTCTTCAAATTTTTCAGGCGGCTCGAGCCCCTGGGCGCCCCCCCCCCGAGTGATAGCAAATAAGATGAGTAGGTGTAATGAGTTAATTCTTATCTAATAAATGTAAAAAATAGAATTTAGGAGTTGTAAGAATTGCTATATATGTTTACTGACGTCGTGTAACATTACCCCAGGCTTGCAAGTGACTATGATAAACTATAGAACCAAATATTATTTAAAACTTTAATATAAAAAGAAATCATATGAAGAAGCGTAAAATTTTAATGAATTCATTTATACCGGTAACCTAATAGGAATAAATTTTAAATATTTAAAAAATCGGTATTAAAATTATTTAAAATACAAAATGAAGGTAAAAAGGGGTGGGGGAGGCGCTCAATTAATAAAAACATAATTGAGTCCCTAAAAAGAGGCAGTAATTATATTTAAAAATTTCTACTTGTATTTTTTGCCTTAAAAAATAAATTCTTTGTTCAATGCTTGGATTCGGATTTTGTGAGCCAAGGCTTTCAAAAAATAAATATGTTAAGGGCAAATAATTTGTGGATGTGGCTCTCGGAGTAAAGATGGATTAACCAATATTGTTCATTTTTTTATTTTTGCCAGAGTAAATGTGTATTAACATTTGTGGGGAGTTATAAATAATATAAATTTATTAATTGCAAAATTAAATAATATTTTCAACGGCATAGGACAAAATGTTTATGAAAACGAGGGAGTGTTGCTTTAAAAAAATATCCAATCCACCAAGCATCAATTCAGAGAAGATGTCCTAGCGATTAAAAGTACTCATTCTAAAACGTTAATATTTAATGCTTTATCACTTTAGAATTCAGTATATAGAAACGTTTTTAAATCGATTACTTTTAGTTCAGAAAGCTTATTTTAATGCTAAATATGCTAAATATGCTTAATTATTAATTTTAGTGTTCAATCCGTTTGAAGTATGATGGAGAATAAAGTATAAAAAGCAATATATAAAAAAAAATTGAAATGAAAAATATTATAACACAAATATTCCAAGACGCTCCAGTAACTAACGATATATAAACAGGTCATCTCTATAATATTTTTCATAAATAGTTTCACCCCCCCCCCTATCTTAAATATGCCATGAACGAACATTTTTTTTAAATATAGATTTTTATCCGAATATAGGACAAGAATATGATTGTTACATTTTTCTTCCCCTTTTTATTTCCCATCCCCATTTCCCTCCTTTCAAAAAAAAACCTTTAACTCGGTAGAAGTTCTTGTCTGGTCTAAGAGATCGGTTCCGAATCTTCGACATTTAGTGGAAAGTTCGTCATATTCGGTCGTGAATTCATACTCCATACTGCTGAGCTGGGAGAGTTCCCAAGATATTGTAAATGCTGTCATGATAGGATCACGTGATGTGAGGCAAATGAGAGACGGACTTGAGAGCGCCCTAATTAAATTTTTTCGAATAAGCATCATAGAATATGTTTTATGTCGATTTAAACTAACTGTAAATTTAAACTATCAAAATTCAGATCTTTTCCCAAGGCTTAGGGTTAAAATTAGAGATCACTACCCATATTATGAAAATGATATATAATAATGATTGAAAGAAACTTGGCAATAGAATTTAATAAATTTGAAAGGGCCTAGAGCCAATAAGCTGGTGATTAAAGTGGTAAAAATAAAATAGGTTATCGTGTATAATATATTCAAGAATCTCCTATTGAAAAAAAAGAGTTAATTAGTAAAAGGAGATTAAAATATGTTAGCCCAAATGTGTGAGTCAGATTGCCTGGTTGCTGTACTAAATTATAATTCCATCGTACGATCACAGGTGAACGATAACAAACTTATCTGCAGGTTTTAGGTGATATAAAAGGCAGGTTAAAGGTAATATAATTTATTTAAAAAGTTGTTTATGTTGATTTAAAAAACGAACCTTTATTTTATAAAGTCTAAAGAAGGTCAATCCTGAAAGTAGACATTTTTACATGATCATACATTATTGTTTCCTGCTCCAGGCTTTATTGCAACTTAAAATATTTTGTGGCTTAATAATATAAAAGATCCCCATTTTCTACTAGAAGAGATTAAGTCCTTCATGACCAGGCCTACATTTTTTTAGGATCAATTTCAAATTTTACAAATGGTCATGAAGGACTTAATCTCTTCTAGTAGAAAATTTTTCTAATGTTTCACGATACTAAAAATTAATTTAATAATAAAGAATATAAAAATCGTTTGAAGATAGTATTGAAATCGAGGAAATAAAAATTTATTTATTCTATATACTTTAATTTTAAATAAGTTATATTACTGCTATTTTTACTTAACATTAATAAAATGAAAATGTGGGAATGAAATAAAAGAATTGGATTATAGACTAAATGGGCATAATTTTACAAAAAAGAACATTAAGGAAAATATGACTATAGGATCGGATTTCGATAAAATTAAGCAGAGAACAGATTACTTTAACCTGAAACAGGGAAAATATTAAATTCCAAATATTTATCTTGATAATTTAAAGTAAAATTTTTAAAAATGAAAATATAATATCATGATATAATTAAAAACATTTAAAAATAAAATACATAAAAAATATTTTTTAAATCTAATGAATTCAAAATTATTTAAATAACTAAAAATATTTTAAAAAATCATTAACTATAATAAATCAAAAGAAGGTCTAAGATTTAGCATAGAAATAGCTTTAGAATATATATCAAGTATTATTAATTATTTTCCCTTTTCTATTCTTTTATTTCTATCTTCATCCCTTCCCTCCTTTGTCCTTTTCTACTTATATATAATTAGTTACCTGTAGGCATGTATGCGACTCAAGCTGTGTCTAAGACTGTCAGTCTCGCTTTGCATGACGCATGTGCGACAGCCGCATCTAACGTCATGCGGTCGCGAAATTTTTGCACCTCGGTCAAGCAGTAATTTGACAATCTCGTAATTGTCCTTGTGGGCTGCCAGGATAAGTGGAGTTATATCACAGGTAAAAGCGCTTTCGTACTCTTTGTTATCTATTTTTTCCTTCGCAAAAAAACACATTATATTAGTTAGATAATAAGATATCGCTTAATAAAAGTTCCTTTATAACAGTTATCAATATTATAGATTTTTTCCTAAACTCTAAATAATGCTCACTTATAAAAGTCGAGGCTTCTTTTTTACTTCTTCTTATTTTATTATTTTTAGTATTAAACAAGAAACTTGGTCAGCGAGATTGTTAAATGAATAATAGAATTTTAAGGTTACTAAAAAAAGGGAGATTATTTATGAAACCGCTACTACAAGACCAAATGGATTATAAATGGTTCTGAAGTGAATCATTTATGCATTACTCACGCCATGCATAAGCGTATCCAAAATTTTTCTAAGGGAAGGGGTTTGGTAGATCTTCTTCCCATATTTTTAATTTTATTGGGTGAATGCAGGCCTTAAATAATTATAGAAGTTGTTATTTTTTTCTGGTAAAAAATTAGTTTCATTTTTTATAAAAAATTATAGTTTCATTTTTAATAAAAAATATATACTTTTACTTTTTCTTTTTTAAATTGTTTTTAATCAGGGATGCAAACAGAACCTTTAAACCGGCATTAAGCGTTATTATTTACAGATATTAAACCCAACCTGAACCGTTAAAAATTTTTGACCTAACTAAACCGAACCTATAAAAAGAATCGGTTAGAACCTTTAGATATACAACTCTTTTAAAATATATAAATAATCATTTTGTTTGATAGAATATAAGTATTTTCAGATATTTTTGTATATTTATTTGACCATGCCAACCACCTAGATTAACAAGGTTGGGCAAATTTTTAGAAAATTGTATCTGAATACAGATATCTTTTTTAAAATTTTGTTTTTAAGATTCAAGATATTTAGCAAAAATTTCAATATCTTTAATCTTTTAAAGTGTCGATATATAAGATACTTTTTTAAAGTTCAAATAGTCAAAGTCAAAATGTATCAAGATTCAACTATAGAAAGTGGATGGATACATTCCTTTAATAACAAACAAAGTTAATTGATTAATAAATTTTCCTGAAATATTCTTTCATTTTATTATTTGAAAATTCTTGGTCTTTTTGAGTTAATGTTTTTGTAGTTTTTACAATTTCTTTATGTTTTTTTTGTTTGTGTAATATATTATGATGATTCATCTAATTTTTATATGATTTTAGATGACGAGGCGTCATCCTAGAAAAATCATTATCTTGAGAAGTATTCTTTAATTTTTATTTAATATATTTTATCAATATTTTTTCTTATTTTTTTCTTTTAGATGATTTTAAATATCATTTTCTTATCATTATCAATCATTAATATAAAATTTATTTTAAAAAACTTTCTAAATTTAGCAAATAAATAGGACATGATATTTAATAATATTTAATAAAATTATATAATATACTTTTAGATACTAGACGAAATTAGATGACGAGTTTGCAGAGCCACTTATAAATTTGTGGCATTTTTTACACTGCAGTATTTTAGAGATCTGCAAAGTTAGGCCCGGCCCGTACCCGACACGAGTCCAGCCCTGCCAGAACGGGCTTCGGGCCCAGGCCCAGACTCTGGCCTAATTCTATTTAAAATAATCGGGTTCGGGCCGGGCATAATATTTTTAAAAAAAATCGGGCCGGGTCAGGTCAGACCTTGGAATTTTTTTTAAATATATCTAAATTTATCAATTTTATATTGAATCTTTTATGTAAAATAAAAATATTTGATTTTATTTATTGAAACTAAACGACATATAACATATGTCTTTTATTTTGAGTAATTATAAAGATTAATTTCTATATTTAAATAAATTCGGGCCGGGCCGGGTCGGGGATAATGATGGATATAACGGTTTTAATAAAATATGGTAGTTGATTAGCAAATTTATATATGATGACTAACATTATATATCATTACCTATCTTAAAATACCTAAACTTGGAATAAATTTTTCATTTTAAAATTACATTATTTAAAATTTTAATACTATTTAAATTAACTAATATATAATTTTTTAAAGTGTCTGTACTTTTTGAATTAAAATACAGATATTTTTAAATAATTTGTAGCTAGGATACAAGACCCCAGATCCTTTTAAAAAGTTTAAAAATGATACAATATCTTAGATAAAAATATCCACTATATTGTTTAACCCTGGTTCTCAGCCATATAATATATTCCTTCTCCTTATAAAGATAATTTGAAAGAAAAAAAATATTGAAAATGCTTTAATTTTATATGGCTCAATATAATTTTTTTGGGAATAGGGACAAAATTTTAAAAGATGTAATTCTAATAAGGTTTTGTCTGAAAAAATAAATTAAAGGTTCAAACGGCACCGATATTATTATTTTTTACGAACCGAACCTGAACCATGAACATTTCTTTTGTCTGAGCCTAAGTCTGAACGGAACATATATTAGTTATGATTCGGACCTGTTCATAATAATGGCATAATATTCAAACTTTGGGGATTAAAATCCTATAATTTGCAAATTTTTAAAATGAAATTCCCCAGCTTCCTCATGGTCATCCCTGTACACCTTTATAATTCATCATTATTCTACCTATAGGGAATTATTACGAAGCTTAATGGTTCGGTAAAGGTGGGTAAGGGCACGTGACTATAACTGTTCTATAATAAAAGTGGTTCGTTAGTCTGAATTAATCAAATTTTTGTCCCTTTACAACTTTGATATAAAGGGGAATAAAATATAAATCTCTTTGTTGTTAGGTACAAAAGTATGTTTAAATTCCTTTGAATTCCGAAATAAATTTCATAAATTTAAAGCCTAAAAATATTTAATAAACTTTTCAACATACTCTTGTTTTAAATACTTAAATCTTTATGAACTTTTATATCTAGATAAGATATGCTCATATTCGTATTAATGTGAATAATAAAAATAATTATATTCGATAATAAATTCTATAAAAAGATTTTCAAAAATGAAATAAATAAAATGTTAAAATTTAAAAAAGTGATCTATAAATGTGAAAATAAAATAAAAAGCAAAATTTATCAATAATTTTGAATATTTAAGAATAATTCGATAGAATGATAATTTCGAATCATATAATTTTTTAATTCGTAGCAAGAATCGAATATGGATAATTCGTTTTAGGTAAGGTCTAACTCCGAATCCCACATCAGCAGCAAGCCTTATTTAGACAATATTTAATCGGTAAATCACAGACTCCATTTCTAAGTAATAAAATATTATTTTATAAATATTTTCTCAACCCTGGCACCATAGCATGGAAAAGAAAGGAAATGGAAAGGAAACACAAAATACGATTTTTTTAAAAAACTAAAAAGATATACCGTGTACTTAATAGACCCCTGTCCTCCTAGAGCTCCCTTAGCCGCTTCATATTGTTTGACCCGTTGCCCATCCTCATAGTTGAGAAGGTGCTCTACGGCTTCGACCATTTCCTCTGAAATGGCGTACAAGATGGCGTCCTTAGTGTCCACATGATACTTGAGTAGCAGTTCTAACATTTCCAAATTGTCATTTTCTATGGCTATCAATAGGGCAGAACGGTTGAGCGGATCGACGCAGTTTATGTTGATGTGAAAGTAAAGTTGAGCTTCTTCTAGGATCTTACCTACCTTTTAAACCAAAAAATATTTGTAAACATTTTTAAAAAATAACAATGGGTAGGCAGATTTGTAGTTTATCGTGTCAAAAATGGATGACAAGGCGAATTTACTACATTTTAAAAGCCCTTTTTATACTATTATAATTGAGTCAAACCATGCAAAGATCGGCTAAAGTTTGAAAGAACTCAAATCGTTATAATTCTGTGAGAGTCAGCCAGAATCTTACGAACAAAGATTGGAAGTCAAAATTTATTCTGACCAGAACTAATACCAAAAAAAATTCTCTTAATGAGGAACGTGAAAAAATTCATTTTTGAAATTTTTCTTATAAAATAATGGCAATTTATTAAGACATCTTAAACGAGTCGATGATATAATTGTTTCATATTAATAGTTAAATAGATTAATGAATAAAATCGTGCTGATTAAAAAATAATAATTAAATATTATGTATTTTTTTAGGAAAGTTCCGGATCATTCGAAAGCCCAGACAGAACCGTGAGATTTTGAAATTTCACACCATCAAAATCTTATGTAAAATAATTGGGAAAAATTTAGGGTTTGTCAAATTTTACGCTCACCACTAATCCCTAGATGGAGTAATAAATCATTTAATTTTTCTTTCTTATTACCAAAAGTCGTCTTCGACACTTTAAAAGTTACAACATTAACACTACTAGCCTCCACTTCAGTCTGAATTATCAAAATTGGCGTTAAAACCTAATGAATCGTTTAAGTTACTACCGGAGGAAAGACTCTGAGACGGCTAGTCTCTACAGGGATCCAAACAAAGTCGGCATGTTAAACTTGTATGATTCGTTATTATTTACAGATAACCCGAATCTGAACCGTCAAAACATTTGTTACCCGATCCCTGCGAGTGTCTTGAATATTGAACCTTTAGATCTTAACTATTTTAACTATTTTTATATAATTTCATTTATTGCTATCTGACTATGCCAGTTAACCAAGTTAACATATAAAAGTGTTTTCAACTATAAACTTTATTCCTTTTCCTTATGGATATAATTTGCCCAAAGACTCTTGGAAATATTCAATAACTCAATTGCATTTGAGAATACAATTTGACAATTAATATTTGTTGCAATAATAATAATAAAATAAACTTTTATTGCTTTTGTGGGTTATGGCGATAAATTTTTTTTAAAATGTGATTCTTAATACATAATTCTAATTAGTAGTTTTTTTACGAACCGAAAATTACCTTGTACCGTTTGCTCTTATCTGAACGGACATTTGACATTTGCGGTTAAGTTTTTAATAATATTCAAAAAATGAGCAATTGAAAATATAAAATAATTTACAAAAAATAGATAACCTGTTAATATTAAAAATATTAAACCAAGATTTAAAAGACATAAAGTCAACTTATTAAATAAAAAAAAATGTATATTAAGATAAGATTGAAAAAAAGAAGAAAAAGATAAAATCAAAGGAATCAAATCCCCACCGCATTTTATTACTAATAATAAAAACATTAAAATTTCTCTAAAAAGATATTATTTTAAGAAAAAATTTAATTAATAATATTGTATGTTCTGATGAAACTATGTTAGATGGGTACATACCGAAATATTAGATTTGAAGAATCGGTTTGACAATATTTATAAAATGTGAAGAAATTTAGCTAAATTTGTGCAATGTCTAAATAAAAAGGACCATCGACTCGCCTCTATATAATTTTTTTTAAGTGGAGGGGGAGGGGGGGTAAGGAATCTAAAGGAGTATTCTGAGCTTGCATATAAAAAAATACCCATTTTTGGTCTAGCTCAATCGAAAATTTTTATCCTTCATCCGATTGAAAAATTTTCCGCGGTTTTTTATTTACGTCCTAGACAGGTTTTTAAATTTATTATTTTAAATAATTCTGGCTTTATTATGTAAATGGTTTCAAAGGGGAATCACATGAGAATGGAATCAAAACCATATAAATTAAAATTTATTTTAAAAATGAATCCAACCAGACGTGAGTTAATAATTTTAAAAACAAATGCCAGCCTAGCCAGAATTTTAAGAATTAAAAAAAAATGTAGATAATATTGTTCAGGATCATGAAAGTCAATTATAATAAACAAAGAATATAATTGATCACTCTTACTGCATTCATATATCCCCATTTTCATATCCGATTAATGTACTTTAACATTTAAAAAAAAACATTTACTGCTTCGCACAAAAAATATATTATTTCCACTTATCTCTTTTCAATTCCCAGAAACGATTTATTTTTTATGGTCAAAATTTTTTTTTCATACTTAAAAAATTTTAATAAAAGAAAATGGGAAAAAATAAAACCTTCTTAAAGTGACCATGTAAGGGGAACTATTATTATTTTAACTTTCAAGATAGAGAGGTAAACATATTAATATGATTATATCTATTTCGTAAAAAAGATAAGGAGATATAATATAAATAACTTATTATTTATTAGTATACTACAAAATTATAGCTTTTCTAAACCATACTTTCTTGTCATATTAATTATCTTTTCATATCTAATATTTTTTAATAAAAAGTAATATATTTTATATTTTCTAATTAATTTATATTAAATTTCTGTGATAATGCCACAAAAAAACACTGAATTTCTTATAAGTTATTCTTTTATATTGAAAAAAAAATTCAGTAAGGTTTTTTTTTAAAAATTAATATTTAATATAATATTTATTGGTTTACTTTTTATTAATAGAATAAAGCAACCAATAGAAATTCAAATTTTAGGTCCCGAATAAGAAAAAAAATATATATTTTCAAGCCGACCCAGGTTTTCCTTTCCAAGTTTTCTTGGTCCGTTCAGGATTTTCTTTGATTATTTATGGCCCAGTCATAAATATTCTAAATTTTGTTATTTTGATGCTAATTGTTTCAACGGGAAATTAAAAATATGAGCAGTAAATTAATATAAAACGCTTCATTATAAGATTTCCCAGCTGATTAATTGATAAAATTAAAATAAATTTTTTTAAATCAGCCATGTCCGGATTTTTAATTTTAAAAATTATGACCGGACAAATCATATTTTTAAAATTTTTAAGTCAAGCCAGAATTTTTAAAATTGCCCACATTCTATGAGAAAAAGAGAAGAAAATTAATAGGTAAAATCTTTGAATTCGATAAAATAAGGAAGGAAAGAAGGCCTATGATCAAAAATATAGGTTTAAAAAAATATTCATAGAATAGAAAAAATTAATCATACAATAATTTGCCTAAATAAAATTAAAAAAAGAATATTCTTTACTAAATTTTATTGTACTAATTATAATTGGTTACTAAATAGAATAATAAAATAAATTTTAAAAAAACTTTTCCGTTATTTTTATTAAATTTTTAAGTCCTCATTTTTCCGAACCCTGAACCCGAACCTGAATTTTTCACACTCAACCCCTTTTTTTAAACTATTATTTATAAAATAAATATCGATTCCACGATAATTCAAAAATAAAATATACTTATAGGTGAAACCAAGAGTAAGATTTTCACTTGAGTATAATTTTAGGAGAAAATCCCACTCTCTATATTACCCTCCTATCCTATCTCTTCCAAAAATGAATAGATTAAGTGATTATAGAAAAATATTTACGAAAATCCTGGAAGTGATGAACACTATTTTTAACAAATAATTTTTTGGGTCTAACTTAAAACAACCATCCCTATCGTATTCGTACTGTAGTAGTGACCTAAAACTTGTGATTGTTAAATAAAGCACTCTTAAATAGAAGGGAAGGGTGCTATTATTTTATTCTGAAGGGGGAGGGGGGGGGAGTAAATTTCCCATGCTATCTCCATATTATTTTCTCATATATTATGCGAAAAGATTACACGGGAAGGATACCTTAATATGTGAATACTCTCTCATTTTAAAAATTCAGTCTAGCAAATAAATAACCAAAAATTTTAGACTTGTCTCAAACTTAAAAAAATAAAATTTGCAGGACACTAAATTAATTACCTAAATTATTTTTTAGCTTATTGGAATTATTATACAAATTAATTGTATATTCCCGTTTCTCAAAATTTTAAAATATTTTTTTATTTTTTCACTCCTCTGGGATTGTAAGGAAATTTTTTTCATATATCAATTGTCACTTTTATATTTTTATAATGTAACACTTTTGCAATTACAAAACATTAACATTTTTTATGCCATACATACAGATACAATTAATATGAATATTTAATAAACCAAACCAACCAAATAAAAATTTTTTGTTGAAAAAATAAAATAAATAAAATTGTAAAATTTATTCAGCTGTTTTATATGGTTCTATTAATATTATGCAAGAATTTCATGTTAACTTTTACTCTCTTTTATTTAAAACATAGAATTGAATTTATTATTAAAGGAAAATCAAAAATAGAATAAAGTATATAAAATGAAAATTATTATTAGCTATAAACAAACTAATGGGTAAAAATACAAAAGTAAAATTAAATTAAAAATACCCAAAAAATAGGGAAAATATTTTAAAAAAAGAAAAATATCAAGTTAAAATTCCAAAAAATAGTTTTCAAATATCGGCTGATATTGGTTTACCATTTTTATATTCCCATTGGGCTAGGCAAAAAATTAAAGTGGCCAGGCAATATTTTTTGTATATTTATTTGATGAATTCTAATATTTCATAAAGGTGATAGTCCATAAAGTAAAATGTTTTTAATTTAACCACTCCCCGAGATTATCGGGCAATCTTAGTGAAAAATTGAAACAAAACCTGACCGGGCAAAAAAATTTCCGGACCGGGTCTGATTCTCACCCCATACTATTATAAAAATAATAAAGGAAAAAATTACTCACAGTTGGAACGTCCCCTTTTTCAACGGCTATGAGATACTGTTTTTCTTTGAAGGTGAGCTCGTGTTTGGGTTCGGGCATGAGTCCCTCCACGTACTCCATATTGATTCCGCCAGCATCAGGCCTGCCCCTAGAGCCGGTTTTATCGGGGGGACCTCCTTTATTTGGAGGCGTGTCTATATTTTTACGGAGTGCGATTCCCCGACTGGCTCCCGTGGAGGATGGAGGATTGCTTAAGGTGGCCGGGATGGTATTGGTCGTGTTCACCCTGTGTGGGAATCATTTTAATAGATTGGGAAATAAATAAAATTATAAAAACATCACCGGACAAATTATGAGAAGTTGTTGACTAACATTTAATTACAAAAAAATGTGAACAAAGTGGAATGGAAATGACTAGGAAATGATAAAATAGGTCGATGAGGGAGAGCTTGTGGTGGAAAATTCTAAAAATAATAGATATAAGGATGAAGAATAAAAATTATAATAATGCTCCGTAGTTGCCAAATTTTGCTAAGGGGGAGGGGGACAAGAAGTTTGGTTTTCCCCCATAAATTTTATTGAAGGTCTTTAAGTCCACACAATATAAGTCTTAGTAATGTTAGCCTCAATGTTCAATGGGTTATTTTTTCAACGTTAAATCATTTTATGAGGGTTTAATATAATTTTATCCAAAATGAATTCTCTCATTTTCAACATAACTACCCTAAAAATTTTAGCCCTTTCCGTTCACTCAAGCCATTTAAAATTTATGTGCACTAGAATTTGTTAGGAAGTAATCGAGATTTAACCAATTTATTAATAGTTGTATTTTGAAGTTTCGTATTACATATATATATACTTTTATTTTTTTATATACCACTTTGCAACATCTTGTTATGAAATTTTCTTCACTTAAAAATCTTTGTAATAATACTTCTTTCAAAGTCTCCCCATATTGTTTGTCATATTTTGTCCCCTTTGTCCATCATCATTTTACTTATATAATCAGGGGCGGACTGGCCATCGGTGGGCATTTTGACCACGAAACCGCGAGAAAATGTCGATTTTTGAGGCCGATCAGAGGAAAATAAAATATCAAAATAGAAACCGATTAGAAAAAAATTATTATTATGATCACATTTTTTTTCTCTTATCATTTATTTATTTTTAATGATATCTCTATGATTCGAATATCACATTCCTTGAGAATTGTCATGTAGTTTACTATATTTTAATGCATAATATATCAATAACGTCGCTTGATGCTACACATCATTATCACGTTCTTTTCTTTGTTTTTTTTTTCAAACGAAGTGAAAATGCTTCCGTTTGAGTAGAGTCTAAGTTTTGATTAATTTATTATATTATATTATATTTTTATACATTGATTTATTGTAGAAATAATATAGCCAACATTTCTTTTTCTTAATTCAATGAAATCAAATAAAATCCAGGTTAGTGAATCAGATCAAAGGATAGATGCTTGGGTGAAACACAATAATTTATCTGGCCAAAGTAAGTTGAGAAGGCTGCAAAAAATAGGTGAGATAAGGTGGTGGGCACGTGAAAAAGCCCTTAGATGGATTTATGGTAAAGAGAGCTTGCTCCCAATAACGATAAAGGCACTTCAATTTATAATAGATAATAAATAATTTGAGACAAAAACTTGATAATTTATATAAATTTAAGATTCTAAGTACAGCTATAATATATTTGGAAATTTTTAAAATAATGGGGCCACTATATCTTCAAACTAAAAAATTAGGTACTTTGTCAGCATGGAAAATAAAAGAAGATGCTAAATCTTCTGTATCATCGATTATTACATCGATTCAAAATAAAGAAAGCTAATTTAAATGAAATATTTTCATATTTATAGCTCCCGGAGAGCATCTGAGTACAAAATTCTCTGTAAAAAGATCGAATAGGAAGAGCAAAGAGAATATATACTGACAAGATGAACGTCCTCAAGAATGGATTGACACCTATAGGTTCGAACTATTTCGTCCTATAATTGATCAAATTATAAATAGCTTGTAGGAACTACTTTCTGCGAATTGAGAGCTTATCTTGAATGTGCAATATTTGCATCCAAGACATTTTGATGAAATAAATAGTAAAAATATTTCTGAAAAGGCCTTGGAAAAACTGGCACAATTGGCATATATATTGACTGTTAAATTTCATAACGAATTATGTTCATTTGTCGTGTATTCAAAGATTTGGTAACAGAATTAAATAAAACGGACGATGATATCGCATGTACAAGTGAGGAGTCAAATGAAGAAGATGGAATATTACAATATGATAATAAATCTGAGTGTGATAATAATAAATGTAACAAGTGTTTGATATGCGTGTATGAAATTCTTAAAAGATACAGTATACATACAAGTGACTAATTTATTTTTGGCATATGAATACATTTTAACTTTATCATTCACGCAGGTTAATTGCGAGAAAGCATATAGTAAATTAAAAATTATATAAATAAGCTGAGAGCTAATATTGAGCAAGAAAAATTAGAAGCATTTTTAATAATGTCAGTTGAATTAGAACTATTAGCGTAGATTGAACTAGAAGATATTCCTGTATATTTGCGCAAAGGTTCAAAGTTAATGAGAGATTTATTAACGTAAAAATTATATTAGAATCTTATTAATATTATTTACAATATGATCGGTGCCTGATTTTATAAAAGTGCAGCAATTTTATACTCTGTAATAATGTATAACTGCAATATATATTTATAATTAATTGATTTAATATATTGAGTATGCATTTTTTTTATATTTAACATGTGATGTATAATTTGATTCTATAGTGCAATATCGTTGTAAATCTAATATAAAATATATTTTTCAATGGATATTATTTTATATAGGTAATGAATATGATTTTAGATGTGCATTTTTTTAAAATAAAATTTATGATTATCGTATAATAATTCTATTCTTTTTTTACTAAAAATGTAAAACTTTTGAACTTATTTTCAAAAAATAAGAAGTAACAAAAATCATGTAAATCAAAAAAGCCATTTAAAGGAACCCGGTCGAAGACCTGGCAAAATGGGGGTATGGGTGCGAAGCCCCCATATAAATGAGGCCGCTATAAAAAATGCCCACGAGGCCGTAGCGTCGCCAGCCCGCCCCTGTAAAAAATATATGGAAAGATTTTATTAAATTCAAAGGTTCATGGCAAAAATTTCCAAAAATCATAGAGCAGGTTTTCACATGCTGGAATATATTTCCAGCATATATCTTTTAAGTAAAGCGCTCGCAAAAAATGATTTAAAGTTGAAAAAATAACAAATTGACTGAAAAAACACATTGATGCAAGCTTTACATTTGCATAAACATTTTTGGGAGAGAGGGGTGCAGGGAGAAATTTTAATTGCAAAAATGTGGACAACCAAAATTAAACAAAGTGTTCTATTTTTCCAAGTGAATTGTATATTGACTTTCAGCTTTAGGTAATATTTAGTATTTTAAATATGCCTCTTTTCGACACTGCAATCTGAAGATCATGCCCTATTAGCTTCCCTCAACCAAGGTTCAGGACATGAATACTTGGATGCCATCCCCTCTAAAAATCTTGATCTCGAACTTTCAAATCAAGAATTCAGTTTTGCTGTAGCCATTCGATTAAATACAACAACCTCAGTTTCATATAAGTGCGCCAAGTGCAAAAGGCCAGTTAGTCAAACTGGTCGTCATTGCCTCCAATGCATTTTTAGCAGTGGACGCTCGATCCGGCATAACAGGTGTAATGCTCTCATAAAACGAGCTTTACAGTCAGCAGGCTTTCCTGCCACTTTAGAACCCTCAGGTCTCTTTACGGATGGGAGACGACCCGATGGAATTACACAAATTCCCTGGGAGAATGGCCGATTTCTAGCCTGGGATTTCTCCTGCGTTGACCCCCTCTCACCCTCCAACATCAATAAAGACATTTTAAAATACACCGAAGATTTTAAAACAAATAAATATGTGGATATTCCAGATGAGTATAAATTCGTACCAGTTGTCACGACAACCTTAACATCTCTTGGAAGTCAGGCTCTTAGCCTAATTAAAAAGATTGGCAGAACCTTAAGAACAAAATCAGGAGACCCAAAAGAAGGCGTCTACTTACGTCAACGCATAGGAATTCAGATTATAAAATCTAATTTCACATGCTTCATAGGATCATTCCCCGAGGAGCCCGATTAATCTAGATTTTTTTCTTCTTCCCTTTTTTTTTTAAAAATTACCCCCCCCCCCCCCTTCCTCCTCGTATTATCATTTGCACTAATTATATTCCCATTATTATACCTTGTATAATGAAGTCGTTGGTTGTTAAATTTCTTAAAATTTCTAGAATTGTTAAATTATATATTTTTCTTAAAAAGTTTTTTATAATAAATTAATCTCAAACTACATAAACTTTATTAAATTGTCTTTTCTAATTTATGATTTACTGTATTTGAAACAAAACATGTTTACCTGTTAGAGGGATTCATCATGTCGAAAAAAAGTTTTTTCCTCTTGTTTTTATGGTAGTAAGTGTAGCTGGAATTGAGATTTTCGAAAGGGTCCTGCCGATTAGAGGGAGTTTTGTCGACTTAATTCGTTGATTAAAAAAATAATAATAATGAGCTTTTTACACAATGATTAAAACTATAGTTGATTGGATCATTCGAATCAGGAAATTGTAATATATATATTATTTTAGAGTGGGGGTGCGGTGGTAATGTATTATTTTGAGACATCTTTTATTTTTAAATTAAAATGACCGAAGTACACGTGTGAGAGGAAAGTATAAAATCTTTTAAAATTTTAGTGTAAATGATATGTTATTAAAACGGGAGTAATTGAAGGTTGACCAATTTGATCATCCTTGATAATATGAATCAGTGGTTAAAATATAATCATTTTTATTGATAATATGTCAAATCTGACAGGCCTTATCATCATAGGCAGACTAACGTAAATAATCAATCAGCCTTGGTAACGGTATCAGTAGGCCTATATTTTAAGCCAGGACCGGAAGAATTTTTATTTGTCTCCGTCCTCCCGGTCAGAATTTATTTAAATATAGAAATTAATTTTTTATCAATATAGTTTTATATAACACTGAATCTAACAGAATCATCAAATATATTTTCAAAATAGTTATTACTCCTCCGCTTTTATATGTCCCCCTCTTTAAATGGTTTTTAAAAAATTTTTTATCCATAATATCAATTTTTAATGATTATGTTTTTTATATTTAAAACTAAAAAAAATTCCTTGCTTCTTGCCAAAAATTTAAACATAAAATGAAATCATATCATATTATATTTTAACATCTTATGTCAGGCCCGTGGCTAAGTATGCCAGGTTTGGGCCAGTTGCACATCTCTAATGACAATTTTCTTCAAGTTTATTATGTTGGACTCATATAATTCCATATTTTACATTAACACTTGGTTTACTTACTAAAAATAGTAAAGGGACTTTTACACCCTCCTTAAGCTGGTGACAATTTAACAACCCCCCCCCCCTTCGTTCTATATTTTATCCACTCCCCTCTATTACCAAATCAAATTAGCAAAAAAGGAAATACAAATCAAAACTGCCCCCCGCTCTCCGATTTTATTCAAATGATAATAGCGTTGTCATATATCTACTTAATCCTTTCCAATTTACGCGATGGTGTTGCGTCATACCGTTGAATGTTTTGTAATTATATTTTATTAATGTCATGGCGAAAAATATAATGACTGTGATATTAGGAGTTTCTAATTAGGTCTGTATTGATCAATGAGGGTGTTACGGGGTATGGGAAATACAGCAGCACAAGCCACCAGCAAACTTAAGAGCACCATTTAAAATATTATTATTTCTTGTTTTGCTAATTTTGAAAAAAATGAGTCATCTTGAAGTTATAAAAGACGCCATTATATATATTGATCCAGAGAAATTCTCGCTTTATTTTTCAACGAATGCTATCAACGGTTAAATTAGTATTCAAATTTTGCAGTTATTCAATTTCGTTTAGTTAAAAAAAATATGTATACCATACCAATATTTAATGGCAGTACCGAGTGAATTGGTATTTGGTTTTATTTTTCATTTAGATAGAGACTGCCAAATTAGTTTATAATACATATTAAAGGATCTTAATTTTCGTAAAGTGTCTGTGGCTTAGTCAATAAGAGCGTTGCTTGCCAATCTTATGGCTCTTGATTCGAATTCAAAAGCAGTATCTAGCGAATCGGTATTTTACAATTTAGGCGTTGATAGGGACTGCCAATTATATATTTTTCAATAAGACCCACTTATATACGGAATAACATGGTCGTGTCATATATACAATATATCATTCCCCTAAGGACAGAACTACCAAGTTTTCCTCATAAAAAGATATGGTCCTTGCTGGATTCGAACAAAACCATCGGATACGACTTCTTATCGAGACGGAACTACCAGTTGCCTTCAGAAAAAATATATAATCCTTTATATCATTAACCCACAATTCTTATCGCCTATTTTTTTTCTCAAGGATACCAACAAACCTTGTACCCAATTGTAATTTAACTAAAATAGGTGGAACTTAACCGATTTTGTAATAGTGAGATTTAGTAATGAATATTATAAAAGACAATTCAATTGCGAAATTAAAAAAAAAGTTTAATGAGTAAAAAAAATTTATAAAAAATTTATATTGAATTTTTTTTTTATTTATATATTTTTTGCAACGCGTGCGCGTTTATTCGTTCTTAAAAATAAAAGGGCAGCGAATGTCGTATTTTACATCACAAGTTAGAGAAATGGTAGGTGTGAAAATCTCCTTGAAAGGGAAGATACCTCTTAATTTAAATTATTAATTTTGTCATTATGGCATAAGCGACCATAATTATTATCCAGAGATGTAAAAGGCCCTCAAAAAATATGGAGGAGGGAAACTTGCGCAAAATATTTTTATGATCCGGGCTAAAAAACTTTCTAAAATTATTTGATGAGCATGTTTGGACCAGTGTTGTTAAAAGCTACTTTTAAAAGTAGCATGCTATTGCTATTTTACAAAAAAAAGTAGCGCGCTTTAGTTACTTTTTAAGCTATTTTGGAATTTTTAAAAATATTTTTCACGCTCATAATTAAAAAATATTGATATAAAAATTTGACTAATAATTTATTTATTTTTTATTGGATAATAACATTTCTATACTGTCATCCTCAAGTCTAGGAAAGTATAAGCTTTACCGTACTAAATAATCGTTCAATACTAGAACTTGAGTATACAGTATTAAATTTAGTATATTAGTTATAATTTTAAAATTATAAAATAAATACAAAATTTTATATAAAAAATATTCATTTGAGTATTTTATTTTTATATTATAAAATGCGTCTAGAGGATTTTCAATAGCATTATCATTTAAATTTATTTCAAAAAAAATCATCGATAATAAGTAGTGTTTTTGATCTGGAAAGGGTATCCTGGTTGGTATAGTATTATTTAACATTACAATTTATTTTCTTTGAGTCAAATTAATATCATTGACGTCTTTTGATGGGAAGTACAAAAACGTTGGTGAGCAAGATCCAGTGTATTTTTAAAAACGGCTAGATCAAGATTTTAGCCAAAATAATATTATGTACACTGGAGATTGCTAATAGATGTCAGAAAAGTTTGGATCCCTATTTGCCACATCTCGAGGCTTGCATAATATTATTTTGACTAAAATTTTAATCGGGTGCTATTTAAAAACAATCAATTCAATTCGAAACCAGGGTGAACAATAGCAGCTATGTAACATACAGATAATAAATTATAAAATATATCATTGAATTCTCGGCATTTAAAATTTAATTATTTTGAAAACTAGATTTATAATGCATAATTTATAATATAAATTTCTTTCAAAATTAAAAAAGATTATGATTTTAGAATTGATTATAAAATTATAAATTTTTTTATTAATAATTTTATTATCTATTATATTAAATTAAAAGTACAGAGGTAGCGCTCTAAATTAGTGGCGCAAAGCAGCCGATATTTTTTTACCGCTACTGAAAAAAATAGCATGCTAGATGCTGACCTCTATGTTAGTTTTGTTATCAATTTTTACAAACGGCCGATCAAGATTTTAGCCAAAATTATATTAAGTAAGCCTCGAAATTTGGCAAATAGAAGTCCAAACCCTTCTGCCATCTATAAGCAAACAAGCTTACATAATATTTTGGCGAAGATTTTAATCGGGCCGTTTCTATGTTATGGTATATTCAGAGATCCAAAGTGTACCGAATATCGGTTGGTTTTCGGTTAGATAAAAATAGCGGTTTATAGTTCAGGTTCGGTTCGTGAAAAATAATAATATAGATTAGGTTTGAACCTTTAAACCCCGTTTCTAGTTTGATAAGCATATTATAATTAAATAAAGAAATGCCCATTTTTTAAATTTATCATTATTCTCTAAAAAATAATATCGAGTCGTATATACCAATTAAAATATTCTCTTGTCAAATTTACTTATAAATGAAAAAGAATAGTATTTTCATTTTCGAATACGAATACGAATACGAATAGAATAGCACAATTATCCAATTCGAAAATTGACTATGAATAGTGCAAAAAATATTCCTTTAATAAAATAACTTATTCATTATTCGAAATTTTATTATTTATTCGAAATTATTCATAATTTATTAGTAAATATTTGTATATTTGTACGAATACCAAATTGGTTGATTCGTATTTCTGTAGTAAACCACTTAATGAAAATATATCATTGGCGTACGCAGCGGGGGGGGGGCAGGGGGACAAATCCCCCCCCCCCCCCCCCAAAGCCAAAAAATGCAGATGCCGGATATATTTTTCAAAAATATTTTTGTTTAGAGTGTTGTGAAGATTTAATTTAAAACATATCCATATTTTTTAATTCGTTTGTAAATAAAAATTTTAACTTGTAAAAATTGATAAGAATATATAAATATGTTATTTTAACAACTTTTTACAAGTCAAATAATTTTATTTTCAAATAAATTAATAAATATTAAAGTGTTTTGAATTAAATTTACACAGTACTATATTAATTTATATTTGTTAATATTTATTCCTATCTCATATTAAATATATATTTAATTACATTTATTATCACATTCATCGCTAAGTTTATCAATTAATTTCGATTTCAAGTTTTCCGGCGTAATATTATCTTATTATTTTCAAATTTTTAGTGGCGTAATATTTATCTACCATTTTTAAATTTCTAGTCAAATAATAATTATTCTGAAATTGTCCAACAGGGAGAAAGAAATTGCAACCTTGTCCTACGAGATAGAGTCTCCGCCATCAAGCAGTAACAGCTTTTATGGAGTTAGAAGAGCCGATTATTTGATATTACTGACATATCACAATGGCCTGGAAGAAATTTTTTCTTAGAAGCAAGAAAATTATTGGATTCAATGCTTATTCCAAATTTTTTTTCTCATTAGAATGTACAACTATTTTATGTATTACTTTTCATAAACATGATGACTTGATTAAGAAGATGAGAATAGCGGAGAGCATTTTATTAGAATTCAGGGAAATTAGGGCTAATGTTTATGAAGAATTTCATATTTTATATGTTATTG